GTCATCCCCTTCTCCTTGTGCCCTCCATCTTTCCCAATATCAGGGTCTTTTCCAGGGAGTCTTCTCTTCTCATGAGGTGGCCAAAGTATTGGAGCCTCAGCTTCAGGATCTGTCCTTCCAGTGAGCACTCAGGGCTGATTTCCTTCAGAATGGATAGGTTGGATCTTCTTGCAGTCCATGGGACTCTCAAGAGTCTCCTCCAGCACCATAATTCAAAAGCATCAATTCTTTGGCGATCAGCCTTTTTTATGGTCCAGCTCTCACTTCTGTACATCACTACTCGGAAAACCATAGCTTTAACTATACGGACCTTTGTCGGCAAGGTGATGTCTCTGCTTTTTAAGATGCTGTCTAGGTTTGTCATTGCTTTCCTCCCAAGAAGCAGGCATCTTTTAATTTCGTGACTGCTGTCACCATCTGCAGTGATCATGGAGCCCAAGAAAGTAAAATCTCTCACTGCCTCCATTTCTTCCCCTCCTATTTGCCAGGAGGTGATGGGCCCAGTGGCCATGATCTTCGTTTTTTTTTATGTTGAGCTTCAGACCATATTTTGCGCTCTCCTCTTTCACACTCATTAAAAGGTTCTTTAATTCCTCCTCACTTTCTGCCATCAAGATTGTGTCATCTGCATATCTGAGGTTTCTCTTAATTGTATTTCAGTTGAACAATTACTTCAATAAAATACATGTTTTGTTATGTGCAAATGGCTTTGGATGCTTATTTGGTCCATAAATTACCGTATAGCATATATTCAACACAAAAAATAGTGACAATTTGTTGTTGACACAGGACAGCTGGCCATATAAAGGGCCCCATAACCTTCAGTAGCTTAGGGCCTCATCAAACCTAAATCTGGCCCTGTGTGAAGGGGAGTATACAGATTGAATAAGTAATCCTTCTTGTTCCTTTTTAACCAGGCCTTTGGTTGATCAGATTTACATCCTATGCCCTTTAAAAATGTGTGTTTTTTGGGGGGGGCGGCTATTGGGTTATTGTTTTTATTTTTATCACATATTTTGTGGTTTTACATCTTGCTTTTATTCTGTGAACCGCCCTGAGACACCCCCCCCCAGCTCCTTCTGGTTGCAGAAGGCACTGTGATTTTGTAGTGCAGCTAAGTGGATGAGACTTTGCATGTTGTAGGCATTTAGGTCAACTGTCCTGGGGTCTTCAGGTGAAGGGTGGTATACACATTTAATAAATATAACAACAACAAGAAAAAGAAGTCTTCCCACTGTCTTTAGAAACCTAGTTACAGAAGGTGTGAAATTTTGTAGTGCAGCTTAGTGAATAATAAGACTATGCACATTAGTACACATAAACCTGTGGTCTAGAAATGGAGGTTGGTTTATGCAGCCCAGCTCCCCATAAAGATCCCTTGAGGTCCTCTAACGGTCAGAGAAATAAACAGAGCCAACAATCAAGTATAAGAACTATTACACTTGTCGTTTAAGTTCTATTGAATCTAAACTGGGTGTCCTGCAGAGCAGACACACCCCATGCTCATTTATTTTCAGTGTGACATCACAATTTATTTGATATACACACTTTTGAGTAGACTTGGTTAGCTATGAACCAAGAAGTCCAGAATTCAATTTCCTCTCCAAGTTGCCTTAGGCCAGAGTTGGGAAAACCTGTGATCCTTCAGATGTTGTATTTCAACTTGGCCGTGGCCAAGTGAGAAAAGGTGATAGAAACTGAAGGACAACCATGTCAACAGGTTCCCAATCACTGTAGCCTTACCTGCACCATCTACAATATGGGGATAAGAATACAGATCTATCTTACAGGGTATGTGAAGCATTGAAAGTACTGTTAAAAGATGCATTCATTTGCCACCAACATCTAGAATGTCCAATATCCAGTATCTAAAATGTTAACAGTTTCCCAACCCATTGGGATATTGGCAATGCTATTTTTCAAGAAAAAGAGGTGTCGGAGCTCACCACAAACACCTCCCTCATTCTCTTAGAATGGCAGTGGTACCCACCTGAGAGAAGCTGCACCTGAGTTCTGGCGAGTTCCAGTTGAAAAAAAAAAGCCCTGGGTATTGGCAAGTGACAGGGTCATGGACTGTTTTACCTTGAGATTATCTGGTGCTATCAACATTTTGCAAGAACAGGCTCTAGGCTCAGGAAGCCAGGAATCTGTATTCCTGTATTCCAGGAACATTGCTAGGTAGGATTACTTGCCTGCAATGCTTTTCAGTTTTTGTTTTTCAGTATGCTACTCAGGGGTTGGTCTAAGAGTGTTCCACCCAATCATTCTCTCATATATATATATATATATATATATATATATATGCAGGTTTTGGTGTCCTCGGGTGTCTTCCCGTGTAAAAGTTGGGGTGTCTAGGCGACGTTTCGACGAGGTCTCACTCGTCATCTTCAGGCTGGTGCTTTCGGCTTCTTGTTACTGGAACAGAGCAGGATCTCAGTGTTTGTTCCAGTAACAAGAAGCCGAAAGCACCAGCCTGAAGATGACGAGTGAGACCTCGTCGAAACGTCGCCTAGACACCCCAACTTTTACACGGGAAGACACCCGAGGACACCAAAACCTGCATTCCTGTACCCGTGAAAATCTACGAAAGCAAATATATATATATATATTCTTTTCTAAAAAAGACACCTCTTGTGGCTGCACCACACAGTTTAAATGAATCCATCCCTAAGAAGTCTTTCATTAATAAGAACTGCCTTCTAATTAAGGGGGGGCAGATGCTGATTGTGCATTTTATTTTATTTTGTTTAAGCTGTTTGGAGGTCTACTGTCAGGCAGAAAAGCGGGATACAAATATTTTAGATTTTATTTAGAGTCCTGAGAACTTAAGCTACAGGTTTTGACTCAGATGACTGAGGCAGCCCAACAGCAATATAAAGTTCTTTGGATCAACCTGCCAGGTCCAGGTGTTATTGTAGCTAGTTTACCTGTGCAAAGAAGTGCTCACACAAGTAGTCTTCAGACTGCAATCCATATACATGCATTACTAGAGAGGAACATTAGGAAAAGTTATAAGTAAGTTGGTTTAGGATTTAATCAAACCTTGTGAGAATTTTCACAGAGAATCAAAGGCGTTGGCATCTTCTGCAATGGTAAAAAAAAGAAAGAAGAAGTTTGCATCCCTTGCCAATCCTGCTTTTGCCTCCAGTCGATATTCCTCACACCATTTTAAACACCAGGCCAAAATGTTTCTCTATTACCAAGTCTTTAGCTGAATGAACATTTTGTGGGCTCTTGAATGTGTTTTTGGGAAGGATGTTAATGGTTTGTTGGTTATTTTATTATGTATTCTGTATTTTCATTTTGTATTTTTATGCTGTGATGCGCCCTGTGATCTTCTGATGAAGGGCAGTATGCTAATTTAAGAAATAATAATAATATTAACAGTCCCCTTTTGCGTCTTTTCTAAAGAGCCATGACAGCATGTAAAGAATAACAAGAAGATACAATCTTTGCAAGCATTTATACATTTGTAAAAACGACAACCACGAAACTAGGAGCTCGTTGGGCAGCTAAGAGTCCCAGACGGGGAACCAGTAGGTTTAGCACAACTCACAGAAAAACAAATAAGGGGATCACGTGATGACCTATACGTAGCCAACGCGCGACGGAAGTCGGAGCCACGGCAGGAGGACCCCCAAAACGCTACTTCCGCTTTCCCCATCTGTTTACCTATGACATCTCATGGTAAACAAACCCGCCGCCTCCTCTCCCCACCCTCAAAAAGGGGATAACCGTACTGCCTGATTCGCCTGTTCAAAGAGGCTGCTTTCATACAGGCCCTGCCCAACCTGTGTTTATGCAGAAATGACAAAATGCTTGTTTAGAAGTCTCAGGAAGGCTTATGAGAGGAAACGACAGTCTGAGGTGTCTAAGTTGCTGCCTGAACGCACCTCGACTGCTTTCAAACGGTGAAAACAATAGACTTATAAAGCAGACTTACACATATCTTCTAATTTCCGAGTTCCCTTTAGCGCCTTTTTTTTTGTCTCGCTGAGATGGAAGTGACAGTTGTCGATAAAAAAAGCGGAGAACGCTGCACATACACAGCATTCTATATATATAGACTCGCCCTAACTGACATATCCCTTCCCCACCCCCAAGTTGGAATAAGACCTACATTAGAAAGCGCGAATTCCTGTCTTCTCAAGCAGTGCTTTGAAGGAGTGAGTGTGATAGGAGTTTTATGGTCTTAGATATATGGTAATGTTCATAAGTGCACCAACCAAGCACATACATAGATCAGCACAGGAAGACCGACCTGGAACCATTTTGATTCCTAAACTGAGCAAATGATTTCTCTGCAAGGTCAAAGTGGGAAACCTCCCCATTGTCTCTTTCCTCACAAATCCTGTCTTAAGGACACATTTAAGATATGAATAGGGTGTGAGCCTGTGACATGGCCCAGGAACTAAGTATTTATCATTACAAAATAATGGCCAAGCTCCACAGGCAATCCAATCAAGTGACCATTAACAGGTAACCTGCCAGACAGGAGATAAACAACAACAGGAGAAAAACAATATTCAAATTTCTGTTTTAGACCGCCTTTTCTGTGAGGTAGGTATTATATATCTGGGGGGGGGTCTTAGGTTACACTCCTTCTGTGATGTATGTATGATATTTTTGGAGCTGGTCTTCAACTACAGGGTGGCAATTTCAAAAGTCTTTATAAGGCTTTGCACGCCATTTTTCTGGGTTCCTCCTCTCTCCTGCGGGTGAGGGGAGCACCCTGTTGCAACAGATCAATAAAGATCAAGCTTACTAGCTGCTTTGCTTCTCAATATTCTCTGGTTGGCCTCTGTTATTCTCTCCTACCAATAGGGAACCTATGTAAGGACTCTATATGGGCTCTTGGATACCCCAAAAGGGAAAAGGGCAATTTTTGTTTACAACACGAGGGAGAGCCTAGCGGTTTATTTTCCTCCGCTTGAGCTCTTACTGAGCTGCAGCTTCCGCCTCGGGAAAACCAAGCAAAGGAACCCAGCAAGTTTCCCCCTCGTCTGCGTCGGCGCATGCGAGCTCCTCTGCACCATTTTCCTACATCTACGCGCGCGCAAGCCTTACCCAATCACGCGGGCGCTCCTCGAGGACCCCGCCTGGGCTGCCTCGAGCAATCGCCTGCGTCGCAGCTCCAACCTTCCGCCGGGGAGGACCCCCCTCCTCCTCCTTCCCCGGTCCGTCCGGCGCGCTGCCTGCAAAAACAACAAGCCTCCCTCCCTCACACGGCGCAGGTTCTCCTCGGCCCGGTCGGTGGGGCCGCCGCCTCCGCCGCCGTCCGGTGGGGCCAAGGCCGGGCAGCAGGGGCCTGGGGTGGCCAGTCGGCCGGGCGTCGGGCGGAAGAGGCGATGGACCAGTGCGTGACGGTGGAGCGCGAGCTGGAGAAGGTGCTGCAGAAGTTCTCGGGCTACGGGCAGCTGTGCGAGCGGAGCCTGGAGGAGCTGATCCAGTACGTGGCGGGGCTGCGCCGGGAGATCCTCCAGAGCGAGAGTATGTCCGTAAGAACCAGGCGCTTGCCTTTTCTCTAAGCAGCAGGCAGGCAGGAATCCGGCAGGTGAAGCTTTCCTTGCCCCCCATCCCACTGAAACTGAATTTTTAAAATATAATTATTTATTCGTTTTTTTTAACATATCATTTTCAACAGTAAGTAAACATAATTTTACACCTTATTTAGTTTTTTGACTTCCACTAATCCTGTCTGAAAACTGAATTTCGACTCCCTTTGAGGAAAGTGCCTGCATCACAGAGATTCCCGACACCGCTTTGGGCACCTTGTTGTTGTTATTTGGGGGGAAATACAGTGGTACCTCGGGTTAAGTACTTAATTCGTTCCGGAGGTCCGTACTTAACCTGAAACTGTTCTTAACCTGAAGCACCACTTTAGCTAATGGGGCCTCTCGCTGCCGCCACGCCACCACCACGTGATTTCTGTTCTCATCCTGAAGCAAATTTCTTAACCCAAGGTAATATTTCTGGGTTAGCAGACTCTGTAACCTGAAGGTACCACTGTATTACATTACAGTGCCGGATTTAGGTACGTATAAGTTAAAGAAGGTATAATTTAGGGCCCCAATCTCTTGGCGGCCCCCCCAAAATTAAAGGATAAATAACAACCTGGATGCGGGTGGCGCTGTAGGTTAAACCACAGAGCCTAGGGCTTGCCGATCAGAAGATCAGCGGTTCGAATCCCCACGACGGGGTGAGCTCCCATTGCTTGGTCCCTGCTCCTGCCAACCTAGCAGATCGAAAGCACGTCAAAGTGCAAGTAGATAAATAGGTACCGCTCCGGCGGGAAGGTAAATGGCGTTTCCGTGCTCTGCTCTGGTTTGCCAGAAGCGGCTTAGTCATGCTGGCCACATGACCCGGAAGCTGTATGCTGGCTCCCTCGGCCAATAAAGCGAGATGAGCGCCGCAACCCCAGAGTCGGTCACGACTGGACCTAATGGTCAGGGGTCCCTTTACCTTTACCTTTATTACATTACAGTGCTGGATTTAGGTACGTATAAGTTAAAGAAGCTATAGTTTAGGGCCCCACTCTCTTGGCCCCCCCCCCCAAATTAAAGGATAAACAACAACCTGGCTGTACGTTTCCTAAATACAAGATAAAAAGCAAATAAAATAAAACCTACATACAGCAACAGTGTTTTGTGTTGCGTATGGACCTTTTAGGTCCATAAGTTACCATACAGCATATATTCAACACAAAACAACACTGTAATATTACTTTACAGTGCCGGATTTACGTAAAAGCTAAAGAAGCTATATCTTAGGGCCCCACTCTCTTGGAGGCCCTCCCCCCCAAAAAATTAAAGGGTAAACAACAACCTGGATGTACATTTCCTAAATATAAGATAAAAAGCGAATAAAATAAAACCTACATACAGCAACAGTGTTTTGTGTTGCCTATGGACCTATTAGGTCCATAAATTACCATACAGCATACATTCGACACAAAACAACAGCGACAATTTGTTGTTGACAAAGGACAGCTGGGTATATAAAGGGCCCCATTAGCTTCAGTAGCTTAGGGCCTCATCAAACCTAAATCCGGCCCAGCTCACATATCATGCGAGGGGAAAGAAACCCTATAAGTCTACTTGAAGGAAAGCTTCCAACTGCCGGATTTCTGGGTGTATTTGTTTTTTTTGGGGGGGGAATGTGTCAAATTTTTTTCGGGGGGAGGGGGGATACCCTACAACTCTATGTGAAGTAAAACTTCCAACTGCCAGGTTGTTTAGAAAAGTATGGTAACTCCATGCTTGTCTCAGTTTCCCTTCCCACCGCCTGACAATATCACTTGTATCCTCATCTGGTCAGCTCTTGCATAGTCTGCCTCTTGTATTGAGACACCATTCAGTTCCCTATGATCCGGCTTGTTTCCTAAATGGGTATGTGGGGTGTTAGGGGAGGGCTAGTACATCTGGTGGGGCGGACGTTGTGCTCCCTCTGGGGTGGTTTGTTCACCTTTGGTCGCTACCCTGCACTCAGCTCTCACCCGTGACTCCTAGAAAATGTCGGCATTTGACAGTGATCACACTCCGGGAACAGCTTCAACTAAACCATGCGAGGGTAGCTCAACTACCCTTGGTGAGTTAGGGACTTCCCCAGCATGCGAAGACCGGCACCTGCAGATTGAGCGGATGAGACCAATCGTGGGTCCAATGGTCAAGAAAGTGGTTTCTGCATGTGAGGCGCAGGTGGCTTGTCTTCCTATGAAAGTGGCCCTTCTAGGAGAAGGAAAACTCAGGTGTCAGCAAACTTTTTCAGCAAGGGGCCGGTCCACTGTCCCTCAGACCTTGTGGGGGGCCGGACTATATGGGGGGGGGAATGAACGAATTCCCATGCCCCACAAATAGCCCAGAGATGCATTTTAAATAAAAGGACACATTCTACTCATGTAAAAACATGCTGATTCCTGGACTGTCCGTGGGCCAGATTGAGAAGGCGATTGGGCCAGATCCGGCCCCCGGGCCTTAGTTTGCCTACCCATGCTCTTACCCTAAACCTCCACTGCCTTGCGGGACATCTTTGGGAGAAGAAAAGACTAAGGAGTAAACCCTACACAAATCTGGAGTGGAATCCCTAAGACAGTTGGATGGTGTCTTGTTTGCCTCCTTCCGTCAACTACTGCAGCCAAGCTGGTACCAAATGTATTGCTCTGCTTTTCTTTGGACTACATCAGTAAGGCCAAAAAGAGGGTCTTGTAAGCAAAGCAGTTTGACTTCACCACTGGAGGCACACTCCATTGTCTCTTGAGAGAGACGAATACCAGCAACAGCAATAACTAATAACTGATTGTAGACACATATTTTTTTTGTCCCCTGAGAACGGTATGCTCCATGTGGCCTTAGTTTCCCTGTGTCAAAGGGCTGGGGTCTGTTACAGAGGGTGTTTTTATGTTCTCTTCCCATATCTCTTGTCTTTCTGCTGGGCTGGCTTGCTTGGTTGGTTGTGTGGAACATACAGGAAGGATCTATTTCTCCCTTCTCTGTGCCCCCTCCCCAAAGGTTGCAAGAGAGAAAGAGGTTCAGAAACAGACTTGACAAACCCTGTAGTATTAATTCGCCAGGATGTGATTCATGGGTCAGATGAGCATCGTCTGACAAATTCTGCCCTCTTGGCATCAGCTACTTTACCTGAAGGGCCACTTCGAGAAGTGATTATGGGATGGTGTCCCTTGACCTCAACTTCCAGTTGCTTGTTTGCAGTTCGTAATTTTTCTGATATGCATCTCTTGTTGAGTCTTTCGCCTTCAGTCTGTCTGCTGGAAGGGCTCTCGGCTACCAGCCCTTATTCTGCCTAAAGATTTAGATGAATCTGAAAAAGGCAGTGGCGAGACTGACTTTCTTCCTTTGGATACTGTTGTTCATGTTTATTTATTTATAAGAAATATTTATATACAACTACAGTCGTTCATAAAAATATACCACAGTTCAGAACAGTATAAAAAACCCAAACAATATCATGACGAGTTAAAAATAAGTTAAAAACAAAAAGAAATTAATATCAAGCACAAGTAGATCATTGTAGGGAATGTACTCTTATTTGCCTGGTGGAATAGTTTTCCTTAGGCATTTAAAAATTGGCACAGAAGGCACCCACTGAATCCCTGTTCTCATTGTATTCCACAAGACTGGGGCCAGTGACACTGAAAACTTGATTTCTCATTGTTGTCAAACGAGCCTCACCAACTTGGGGAATTGAAAGAGATGATGTGGACAAAACTACTGCTGCTGTATTTTGGGAAATGATTTTCTAACAACTATAATTAAGTAACTAACTAACTATCAGCATGGCTTTCTTGTATTATATGGAGGAGGAGTTTTCCCTCTTCCCAGACGCAAGTGCTTGGCTTTGTTATTGACTGAGCAAAAAGAGCTAACTTAATTTGCTTACAGAGTTTTGAAAGATAAAGGGCTTTAGGTTTGAGATGCAGGAGACGATGTTTTGTTTTGACATCTCAGGACTGGGCAGTGATTAATCTATCCTGTCCTCCTTGGCCTCTTGTAATGAGTAAAAAAAAAAGGAAGCCTTAATCTGTTTCCACACTGGCAGGTAAGTTTACTCTTTCACACTGAGTAATAATGGCATTAGTCATTGGTGGCTCCTAAATGAACATCCCATAGAGCAAATGTAAACAAAGTTTACAATAACAAGTTTGCTGACTTTCCTATAACTGCGGTCTAATGTGCAACTGATATGTACACATATCTGATATGTGCAACTGATATGCGCGCGTGCACACACACACACACACACACACACAAAGAGTCTGTTGAAATGATGAGTCCATATGTGTAATTCTGTGCCAGATTTCAGTGAGGCCATTTAGGAGTAAGCATTTTATTTGGAAATACTGTTTTTATTGGCACTTCCTCCCAAGTAAATATGTTTAGACTGAGATTAAGCTGGGTGTTTATTTAAAAAGGGAACGTCTAGAAGTTATTATTGAAGGCTGACAAAGGAGACCTTGCAACTTGGAACTGGGTCATAATGCGACTATCTCAAATGTTGGAGCATGGGTAGGCAAACTAAGGCCCGGGGGCCAGATCCGGCTCAGTCGCATTCTAAATCTGGCCCACGGAACGGTCCGGGAATCAGCTTGTTTTTACATGAGTAGAATGTGTGCTTTTATTTAAAATGCATCTCTGGGTTATTTGTGGGGCATAGGAATTTGTTCACCCCCCCCTCAAAAAAAATAGTCCGGCCCCCCACAAGGTCTGAGGGACAGTGGACTGGCCCCCTGCTGAAAAAGTTTGCTGATCCCTGTGTTAGAGAGTACAATTTACATAGTGCACACATCTGAAAGCCCCCACACACCTGAGGGAGTGCTGATGACATTCTCACAGGGGCAGGAATTGCATGGTGGCACCAGTTTTATGAATGGCCAGTTCCATGTTGGGGCTGTTGACGTAACCCGTGCTATTGTTTCCTGCTTGGCAGGGGGTTGGACTCGATGGCCCTTGTTGTCTATTCCAACTCTATGATTCTATGATTCTATTTTCATTGTTGAAAGCTGAGAGCCGTGGTCATTTGACACAAAGAGACTAGTGAGTCACGGGGCATTTAGACATCTGAACAAAGGATAAATCTCCTTGAGGCTTGTAGATTTTTGTAGCTAAATGAGAAGATAGAGGGAATTATTTATCCAGTATCCCAGTAAATTTAAAGGCAGATACACCGCTGCGTCTTGATTGGACAGTGAAACATAGTTCTGTGTTTATGTGGCAGAAAAAACAGTTAATGGGAATGGTTTGCTCCAGCATGGAAGTGGCTCTTCTGAAGCGGTGCTTGAGGAACTGGACACTACAGGTAAACATGGAGATAAAAAAGATCTGGTGGACCAGTTTCTCCTTCCCTCTTTTCAAATACCAGACTGGATGCTAGCACTTGAGATTTTTCTAGCTTCTGTAGTACTCTGACTAGCTTAGCTCCATGTTGTTGTTTAGTCGTTTAGTCGTGTCCAACTCTTTGTGACTCCATGGACCAGAGCACGCCAGGCACTCCTGTCTTCCACTGCCTCCCGCAGTTTGGTCAAACTCATGCTGGTAGCTTTGAGAACACTGTCCAACCATCTCGTCCTCTGTCGTCCCCTTCTCCTCGTGCCCTCCATCTTTCCCAACATCAGGGTCTTTTCCAGGGAGTCTTCTCTTCTCATGAGGTGGCCAAAGTATTGGAGTCTCAGCTTCAGGATCTGTCCTTCCAGTGAGCACTCAGGGCTGATTTCCTTCAGAATGGAGAGGTTTGATCTTCTTGCAGTCCATGGGACTCTCAAGAGTCTCCTCCAGCACCATAATTCAAAAGCATAAATTCTTCGACAATCAGCCTTCTTTATGGTCCAACTCTCACTTCCATACATCACCACTGGGAAAACCATAGCAGCTTAGCTCCATAGTTTCCCACAATTACATTTATTTTTTTATTTCAGAAACTATTGTGCCTTGAGGTTTTAAAACGGAGGGTAGAGTGCAAGAAGTGAATGCCGTTCTTCATTTTAGAGGGGAGGTAAACAAAGTCTGCCTTCTCCTGGGAGGCACCATAAGCCAGGGGACTGCTCAGTCTGACACAGCTTCTGCAGATACTTGAGCCTGCAGTGCTTCTACTTGCCTCGCCAGAGAAAAGAGACCAGGGGATTAATAAACGGGTGAAATCTCCAATTCTTCCCTCCTATTCATCAATGCAAGTGGCAGCTGTTCTTCTGAACTGAGCCTGCGTGTTTCTCTGGAGAAGGACTTCCTGGACCTTGGTTGGGGAGTGAGTGTGTGCCTTGCTGTGCAGGCAAATGGAAGTTAGTAGCATAGCGCCACACTTGTTTTATATATACAGTGGTACCTTGGTTCTCAAACATCCTAATTCATGAACAGCTTAGAACCTGAACATTGCAAACCCGCAAGTGAGTGTTCCGGTTCTCGATTTATTTTTTTTGGAAGTCGAACGTGTCCTGAGTCCTGAGCTTCCGTTTTTAGTGTTGCGCTTCCATTTTTAGAGAGAACGCGCTGATTGGGCCGGTAAGGAGAAGTCCCAGCAGTGCTCTGCAGCCCAGCCACTTTGACAGAGAGAGATCAAGAGAGAAAGAGATCTTGAAAGATCACACTGATTGGGGTGGTGGGGAAAAGCATTTTAGGGGTAGTTTTTCAACAGCCTGGAATGGATTAATTTGTTTTGCATTACTTTCTATGGGAAAACATGCCTTGGTTTGGAATGTTTAGGTTTTGGAACGGACTTCCGGAATGGATTAAGTTCGAGAACCAAGGTACCACTGTATATATAAAAGCAGCAGCGCCTCAAAAGACAATACATATGGGATAAATTGGCTTGCATAGACCCATCTCTCTGATTTTCAGAGGATGCCGCCGGTATTTCCACCACAAAACGTTGTGTGGCTTCCCTCTCCGAGTTAGGCATTTTAAATGTCATATTAGCCTAAGATTTCCAAATACAGTGTAACCTTGGTTTTCAAATGCCTTGGCTGCCAAATGATTCGGAAGCCTAACGCTGAAAACCCGGAAGTGAATGCTTCTGTTTTTGAACACGCCTCGGAAGTTGAACAGCTTTCCATGCTGCATTTTTTCCATTTTCACCATTCACTTTGCCGACCCCCCATTGATTTTCGGTTTCCGAACGGACTTCCGGAACGGATTACGTTCGAAAACCAAGGTTCCACTATATTCACTCTTGTTTTAGCTCCCCCCCACCCAGTATGGTTCTGCTAAATGTAATTTTCCTAATTAAAGGCAGAATTGCCATTGAATTTTTGTGCTATATCCGGGTAAATCTGTCAGAATTGCAGGTAACTGAATGCTGTGTGGAATACTTCCTTGCCAGGAGAAAAGACTGGTGCCTTGTTCTTCGTTAGACCTCAGCAGCTTGAACGTACCGCTAAGCTATCCTGAACTGCAGATAGTCCGTCATCACAAAAAATACCTCTGCTTTGTTTCCATGAAGAAACACAACTGATCTAGGGGTCTGCATGTGGTCTTCTGCAGCCACCTTCACAAGGCTCTGTTTTTTCTTGTCATCAGATGTGATGGGTATTTGGGAATGAGTAACCCTGATGAAAAAGGGACGCAGGTGGCGCTGTGGGTTAAACCACAGAGCTTAGGACTTGCCGATCAGAAGGTCAGCGGTTCAAATCCCCGCAACGGGGTGAGCTCCAGTTGCTCGGTCCCTGCTCCTGCCAACCTAGCAGATCGAAAGCACGTCAAAGTGCAAGTAGATGAATAGGAACCGCTCCATCGGGAAGGTAAACAGCGTTTCTGTGCGCTGCTCTGGTTCGCCAGAAGCGGCTTAGTCATGCTGGCCACATGACCCGGAAGCTGAACAGCGGCTCCCTCGGCCAATAAAGCGAGATGAGCGCCGCAACCCCAGAGTCGGTCACGACTGGACCTAATGGTCAGGGGTCCCTTTATCTTTACTAACCCTGATGGATATTTCTGGGCAGGACCTCTCGGAGATGAAACAGAGGTTTCTTAACCGTCTACAAAGTCATTCCAGAGTGACCAGGTCTAGTTTGCATATCTCTCTTTGGTCTTTTCAAGTCTTGAGAGGGTTGAAACGAACGGAGGGAATGTAAGAGAGATCTGCAGAAGCAAGACTTTTGCCTCTATAAAGATTCAGATGCTGGATAGAGTCTCATGACATTGTGCGTAGCTGCTGTGCCTTGTTACAGTGTACACTTGACAAGGCCACTTTGCAAGAACTGCTTTTCCAGGTAAGCAACCAACCATTTAGCGATAATCTGAAATAATACACTGAGTACAAGGCTGCGATGAAGCTAGCTTCGAGTTACGATTGTACGTATTTCCCCCCCCCCTTGAATATAACTTGCTGTGCATGCTATAAATTATGCTGGCCAAACCCACAGGAATAACATTTCCTGACACCAGAGATGGGGGGTGTATGGCCTCTCAGGTGCTGTTGGACCCTCAACTCCCTTCAGCACCAGCCAATGTGGCTAATGATCAGGGATGATTGGAGCTATAGACCAGCAACATCTGAAGGGTTACAGATTTTTCACCCCACCAGTGTTTCCTGTAATCCATTTTGAAACTACTTATGACTTTTCAGAAGTGAAATTAAATGATGGCGCTTGGGCCCTTCGATTGCAGAAATTTCATTTCTTGGGAATTAGTGTTTCTTGCTCATAATGCAATTAATTATTTGTTTTTCTTCTCTTCTTTCTAGATCAAGATGGAGATCTATCGGGGACGATATCACTTGTTATGACCCAGTGCTGCAAGCGAATAAAGGACACTGTTCAGAAATTGGCCTCAGATCATAAAGACATTCACAGTAGTGTTTCCCGTGTTGGGAAAGCTATTGACAAGGTATTTAGAGCATTTGTTTGGTTGTACCGTATTTTTCGCTCTATAAGACGCACCAGACCACAAGATGCACCTAGTTTTTGGAGGAGGAAAACAAGAAAAAAAATATTCTGAATCTCAGAAGCCAGAACAGCAAGAGGGATCGCTGTGCAGTGAAAGCAGCAATCCCTCTTGGTGTTCTGGCTTCTGGGATAGCTGAGCAGCCTGCATTCGCTCCATAAGACGCACACACATTTCCTACTTTTTAGGAGGGGAAAAGTGAGTCTTATAGAGCAAAAAATATGGTATCTCAATGCTTGGTTGTTCTTAAAAACTTTGTATGTTTAAAATTTAATGTGAGTCAGTACTGCAGACTCCCCAGACTTTTGCAACTGGCTTTTACAGAGATGAAGGATCTCTGGCCTTCCAGATGCTGTGAGACTCCCAACTCCTATCAGCCCCAGCTACGTAGCCCAGGGTCAGGGATGATGTAAGTTGTTCTTTAACAGCGTCTGAAAGGCCACAGTTTCCCCATCTCTGCTATAGGTTGTTTTCAAGAAAGCTCAGTGGACGTGTCTATATTTCTGCATGCAAAACCATATCCCCCAGTTTGGACCCTGTCAGAAACCAAGTGAAATAAAGAACCCAGAGGTAAACCGGGCATTTCACCTTGAAAACCGGCCTTCTGTGAAACAGATTGCCACTTTAGATAATTAGATTAAGACTAATGCAGCAAAATATTTAGTCCTGGGTACATTGAAACCACAGAGCCTAGGACTTGCCGATCAGAAGGTCGGCAGTTCGAATCCCCGCGACGGGGTGAGCTCCCGTTGCTCGGTCCCAGCTCCTGCCAACCTAGCAGTTGAAAAGCACGTCAAAGTGCAAGTAGATAAATAGGTACCACTCTGGCGGGAAGGTAAACGGCGTTTTCGTGCACTGCTCTGGTTCGCCAGAAGTGGCTTAGTCATGCTGGCCACATGACCCGGAAGCTGTACGCCGTCTCCCTCGGCCAATAAAGTGAGATGAGCCGCAACCCCAGAGCCGGCCACGACTGGACCTAATGGTCAGGGGTCCCTTTACCTTTTACATTGAAACCAGAGTGTTTTAAATTTATCTAGAATCATATACTAACTTGGACCTCCTTCCAAAAGGTGCAGCTACTGGGCCTTTGCCAAAGGAGATGTGTTAGATCTGCTTGGGGCTCCATACCCCTCCCGCAAATCACCCACAGGAAATATGCCTAGCACCTTTTTTTGGAAGGTCCAAGTTAGAATTAATATGGTCCTAGATAAATTTCTGGTGACAGATGATGTGAATGTCTTAATAGGCCATGTTACCTGTAAAGGAGAAGCTAGAGGAAAAACAGGGGAGAGGGTACTACAGTGGTACCTCGGGTTACATACGCTTCAGGTTACATAGGCTTCAGGTTAAAGACTCCGCTAACCCAGAAATAGTGCTTCAGGTTAAGAACTTTGCTTCAGGATGAGAACAGAAATCGTGCTCCGGCTGCACAGCGGCAGCAAGAGGCCCCATTAGCTAAAGTGGTGCTTCAGGTTAAGAACAGTTTCAGGTTAAGAACGGACCTCCGGAACGAATTAAGTACTTAACCCGAGGTACCACTGTATTGAGCTTTGTTGATTGCCAGTGCTGGAAGATTATTCGCTTTACCATTTTGGAGCCCATCAAACATGGACGAATATGTGCAAAACCTACATTTGGCAACTCATGAGCAGATTCTAACCTGGGGATAAAACAGCAAAAACCTGATGAAGAGAGCACAGCAGAGGTTATATTTTCTGAGATTCCTCCGGAAAAATAATCTCTCAAAGGACCTGTTGATGGCATTTTACCATTGTAGTGTTGAGAGTGTATTAACTTATGGTCTCTGTGTGTGGTTTGGGAGCTGCGCCGTCAGGGAAAAAGCAATGATGTCCAGGGTTGTAAAGACTGCGGAGAGAATAATTGGGTGCGCTCTTCCCACCTTGGATCAAATCTATGCTTCCAGGTGCCATAAGAAAGCTGCAGAGATAGTGCAGGATAGTGCGCACCCCGGAAATGATCTCTTTCAGCTTCTGCCTTCTGGGAGAAGGTACAGGGTTATAAAGACTAGGACTAGCCGCCTGAGAAACAGTTTCTATCCAAATGCGATTTTGGTTTTAAACGCAGTGTAGGTCGTCTCTATGGGAGTATATTGTATTTAATTATGGGGTATCAGAGTTTATAGGGGGTTAACCAGGCTGGGATAGCTGGGATAGCAGGCTTGTTGGTTTTTGAATGTCTGATGTAGATTTTTTCAATTTTGTTGTTCTGTATGGGACAACGGCAATAAAGATTATCGTATCGTATTCTAATAAGCAGAAAACGTAAGAGGAATTTCACAGTTTTGAAGCTCTTTATAGAATAATGTAGCGTGCCCAATAGAATTGGCATCATGCATAATGGAATATTGCCCTTTGGTTTATTATAAAGGGCCCAATTAAAAATGCTGGTTATGTCCTTTAAAGCCCTAAACTGGGTTGGGATCAGGCTACTTCTGGGAGCACCTTCTCCCATATGACCATGTCTGCTTACTAAGATCTTCTGGAGGGAGAGCCTCTCTATCTTACCCTGCCAGCCTCTGAATTGCATTTGTTCAGGATGCAGGACAGGGTCTTCTCTGTAGCTGCAGCAAAGCTTCAGAACTTCTTTCCTAGAGAGGTCCATCTTACTTCCTCATTTCTAGCCTTCTGATGGTAATCTAGCCAGCTGGCTAAGCTTCCAATCTGAAAATTCAGCCATCTCCTAGTTTTTAGCTTATCTTTGTTCCCTGCCATTTTACCGTCTTACTTTATTTTTACTGCGCGAGTTGAGCATTTTTATGGAAAAGCTGGATAGCATTGTTTTAAAAGTGATTAAAAAAACCCTTCCTGTTTTTAATCTTTAGCACAGTGACTGGATTTTAGGGAGTTTCCTAAACCGATAAGCTCTTGAGAGACGGTGGCTGGGTTACTGCCTTTAATTATGAGTTGTCAATGCAAGCAAATTTTGCAACAGAAGAAGCTGCCTGAGTCAGGGGATTGGCCCATCTAGGTCATTATTACCTACACTGACTGGCAGTGCCTTTCCAAGCTTTCAGGCCAAGGGTCTTTACCTAGAAACACCAGGGATTGAATTTGGGACAGTGAGCTATCACCCTTCTCCAATTTTCCCTGATTTTCACATGATCAGGCGGGAACAACTCCTGGGATAATCTTGCATCGCATATCTCTTGAGATGATTTACACCCCCACACCTTGCTTGCTCCCCCCCCCCCCATTTGCACAAAGCATGAAGCAGGTTATGTCATGCACAGCATGAATGTTAATGCCGCCTTACCTTTAGCCAGTGCTAAACAGGACAGTCCACAGGATCAAACTAGAAGAGATGGGAGTCTTTGTTATCATGAGAATGAGGATGATACCCAGCTCTACCTCTCTTTCAAATCAGAACCAGTGAAGGCGGTGAGGGTCCTGTGTGAGTGTCTGGAGCCGGTTGGAGGATGGATGGCGGCTAACAGAGAGGTTGAATCCTGACAGGACAGAAGTACTGTTTTTGGGGGACAGGAGGCAGGCAGGTATGGAGGACTCCCTGGTCCTGAATGGGGTAACTATGCCCCTGAAGGACCAGGTGCACATCCTGGGAGTCATTCTGGACTCGCAGCTGTCCATGGAGGCGCAGGTCAATTCTGTGTCCAGGGCAGCTGTTTATCAGCTCCATCTGGTACGCAGGCTGAGACCCTACCTGCCTGCGGACTGTCTCGCCAGAGTGGTGCATGCTCTGGTTAGCTCTCACTTGGACTACTGCAATGCGCTCTATGTGGGGCTACCTTTGAAAGTGACCCAGAAACTACAACTAATTCAGAATGCGGCAGCTAGACTGGTGACTGGGAGTGGTCGTCGAGACCACATAACACCGGTCTTGAAAGACCTACATTGGCTCCCAGTACGTTTCCAAGCACATCAAAGTGTTGGTGCTAACCTTTAAAGCCCTAAATGGCCTCGGTCCAGTATACCTGAAGGAGCGTCTCCACCCCCATTGTTCTGCCCAGACGCTGAGTTTCAGTGCTGAGGGCCTTCTGGTGGTTTCTTCGCTGCGAGAAGCCAAGTTATAGGGAACCAGGCAGAGGGGCTTTTCGGTAGTGGCACCCGCCCTGTGGAATGCTCTCCCACCAGATGTCAAAGAGAAAAACAACTACAGTGGTACCTCAGGTTACATACACTTCAGGTTACATACGCTTCAGGTTACAGATTCCACTAACCCAGAGATATTGCTTCGGGTTAAGAACTATGCTTCAGGATGAGAACAGAAATTGTGCTCTGGCAGCGCGGCGGCAGCGGGAGGCCCCATTAGCTAAAGTGGTGCTTCAGGTTAAAACAGTTTCACGTTAAGAACGGACCTCCCAAACGAATTAAGTACTTAACCCGAGGTACCACTGCACCAGACTTTTAGAAGACATCTGAAGGCAGCCCTGTTTAGGGAAGCTTTTAATGTTTAATAGATTATTGTATTTTAATATTTTTTTGGAAGCCGCCCAGAGTGGCTGGGGAAACCCAGCCAGATGGGCGGGGTATAAATAAATTATTATTATTATTATTATTATTATTATTATTATTATTGAAGAATTTTCAGCCCATAAACCTGTTTTGGCAAGACATAGCCCCTGCCTCAACCCCGACTTCTGCCTTCATAAGAGTAGACCATTCCCAACGTGTTCAGAGAGGCAATTTAAGCCAGTTTTGATTCCTTGGGACCAACCCCCCCCCCAGCTTAAAAAAAATATTGTCTCTAAATAGGGGTTTTCCTTTGTAGTCCATTATTCAGGCTATAAATACACGTTGTGTAAATAAAACGTTTCTTGGCCTTACATGTAACTCACCTGTCAAGCTGCACCTGTCTATTACCATAGTTCCTGCGTCCTACAGAGTGGTCTTCTGGTCCTACTGTGCCAGCAGCTGCTATATTGGTTATGCTAGCGTAACGTAATCAAGATCCTATGCACTTTCAGCAGCAAGGCAGGCAGTAAAACAAAACCACTTTCTGCAAGAAATAATGTAGCAACTCTGACACCGCTCCAGCCTTCGTGATAATCCCACCAGCCAGTGATTCTGACATTGCATGCATGCCAGTGGCACCCCATGTTATCTGTATATTTTTTTTTAATTATTATTATTATTATTATTATGCTCATTAAGTGAGTCCTCTGGGTAGTTTTCAACATTATTAAAAATGCAAAAGACATCTTTTTCTATAAAAGGAAGGAACCAGCCAATGCACACAACAGTTGAATGTGCCCCAAATCCAATATAATAATAATAATAATAATAATAATAATAATAATATAATAATAATAATTTATTTGTACCCCGCCCATCTGGCTGGGTTTCCCTAGCCACTCTGTGTGGCTTCCAACAAAGACCAAAAATACGCTAAGATGTCACACATTAAAAACTTCCCAGAACAGGGCTGCCTTCAGATGTCTTCTGAATGTCAGGTGGTTGTTTATCTCTGACATCTGAAGGGAGGGCGTTCCACAGGGCGGGCGCCACTACCGAGAAGGCCCTCTGCCTGGTTCCCTGTAGCCTTGCTTCTCACATTGATGGAACCGCCAGAAGGCCCTCAGAGCTGGACCTCAGTGTCCAGGCAGAACGATGGAGGTGGAGACGCTCCTTCAGGTATACTGGACCGAGGCCGTGTAGGGCTTTAAAGGTCAGCATCAACACTTTGAATTGTGCTCGGAAACATACTGGGAGCCAATGTAGTCTTTCAAGATCATATTCAAGCGCATCTACGAAGCACAGTTTAGCAGTCGAGGGACACAGCACTCTCCCTAGTGCGCGTGAGCCCAGCAACTGTCACCCAGAGCTCCCTCCAGACAAGAATCTGCTTGTAGCACAAATATAGGCAAGCCTGAAAAGAACCGCTCTTTTTGCAGACAAATAAAAGGTAAAGGTAAAGGTACCCCTGCCCGTACGGGCCAGTCTTGACAGACTCTAGGGTTGTGCGCCCATCTCACTTAAGAGGCCGGGGGCCAGCGCTGTCCAGAGACATTTTCGGGTCACGTGGCCAGCGTGACAAAGCTGCATCTGGCGAGCCAGCGCAGCACACGGAAACGCCGTTTACCTTCCCGCCAGTAAGCGGTCCCTATTTATCTACTTGCACCCGGGAGTGCTTTCAAACTGCTAGGTTGGCAGGTGCTGGGACCGAGCAACAGGAGCGCACCCCGCCGCGGGGATTCAAACCGCCGACCTTTCGATTGGCAAGCCCTAGGCGCTGAGGCTTTTACTCACAGCGCCACCCGTGTCCCTATTTGCAGACAAATAGGTGGAGCCAAACAGCAAGGGGAGGACATTCCTTGCTTGTCGCAGCGTCCAGTTCATTCCAGAGCTCATGGCTAGAGTAGAACATGGGATCCCAAAGAGCATCAATGTCCTGTGGGAAAAGTGCACTCGGTAGACCGCTCCTGTTGATGCCTATGTGAAGAAAAAAAGGGCTTTTTGCCAGGGAGACAGCCTCATGTACAAGGAAGAGCAGGAATCAGAATGGTTATTGCCGTATTTTTTGCTCTATAAGACTCACTTTTCCCCTCCTAAAAAGTAAGGGGAAGTGTGTGTGCGTCTTATGGAGTGAATGCAGGCTGCGCAGCTATCCAATAATAATAATAATAATAATAATAATAATAATAATAATAATAATAATAATAATAATAATATCTTTATTGTCATTACCCCCTCTCGGGGACAACGAAATTACTTGACTGCTCAATAAAAACCCTAATTAAAACAATACTGTATAGTACAGCAAGGAAGATTAGATGACTTTCAAAGTCCAGGCTTCCCATTCAGGGCCGAGATCGCTCTGGAGAAGAAGCTGTTCTTAAGACGGCTCGTTCTTGTCTTCATCGTCCTGTATCTCCGTCCCGACGGCAGGAGCTCGAAGAGACAGTGACCAGGATGCGATGGATCTTTTACTATGTCCAGTGCCTTCCTATGGCACCTTGTGGCATAAATCTGCTCTAAGGTGGAGAGTGGGCAGCCAACAATGCTCTCTGCTGCCTTAACAACTCTGCACAACCCCCTCCTGTCCTGGGTAGTACAGCTTCCGTACCACACACATAAGCCATAAGTGAGCACGCTCTCAACGGCACAGTGATAGAAGGCAAGCAGCAGTTTCTGCGGAAGATGGTTTTTCCTTAGAATTCTCAAAAAGTACAGTCTCTGCTGCGCCTTCTTCACAAGCCCCCTTGTGTTGACACTCCAGGACAGATCCTCTTGTAATTCAATGACCAAAAATCTGAACGTTGTTACCCTCTCCACACAGACCCCATCAATCAAAAGTGGCTGGACATTGCTCTTCTGTCTCCTGAAGTCCACCACAAGCTCCTTTGTCTTCCTTGTATTTATGAGCAAGTTGTTAGCTCTGCACCACTCTGTCAGCCGCTCCACCTCATCTCTATAATCCGTTTCACCCTCCCTTTCAGAGATGAGCCCAATCACGGTTGTGTCATCTGCAAATTTGACAACCCTATTACTAGGGTGAGCAGCGACACAATCGTACGTGTAGAGAATATAAAGGACCGGACTGAGTACGCATCCCTGTGGTGTTCCTGTGTTAGTCTTAAGCATATTAGAGGTATAAGGGCCCAACCGAACCCTCTGGGGGCGGTCTGACAAAAAGTCCAATATCCACCTACAAAGTGATAACGGAAGCCCCAGATCTTCCAGTTTAGACATCAGACATTGTGGTAGAATGGTATTAAATGCCGAGCTGAAATCTAAAAAAAGCAGTCTGGCATAACCCCCCCGCTGCTCCAAATGTGCAAGGACGGCATGGAGGGCAATCGCCACAGCGTCCTCTGTCGATCTTTTCGTTTATAAGCAAATTGGAATGTGTCCAGTCCCTCTGCAAGAGGGATCGCTGCTTTCACTGTGCAGCGATCCCTCTTGCTGTTCTGGCTTCTGAGATACAGAATATATTTTTTCTTGTTTTCCTCCTCCAAAAACTAGGTGCGTCTTGTGGTCTGGTGCGTCATATAGAGTCGAAAATATGGTACGTAGGCTCCAGCACCAGGATCGTATGGTAGCACAGGAGGGAAGACACTTATGGGAGCTGGTTCAAATGGTTGACACAAATCACCATTTTGCTGGCAAGAATGATAGAATCCCCTCAATTCCTCAGATATGCCAAATGTGTTTAAAAAATTAAAAAGGAGAGCAAGGCAGTGGCTCTACCTCCTGCCAGAAGAGCAGATCCCGAGCCACAGTCACGAGAAGAATACAGCTTGCCAGGCGTTTTGCAATCCCAATTCAGAACCCTGACAGGGTGTGTGGATGTGTGCGCACAAATTGCCCCCTCTGACCTCATCCCATCAGTCACCTGATCAGCAAGTCATCTGATTGGAATCCCTGTCAGCTGATAGTCAATCTCCTACCATGCTAAAGCTTAAATACAAGGCCACTTTTATCTGATTTGCTGGATGTTTATGTCTGGTGGCTTATATGTGGTTTTATAGATTAGACTTGTGTTTTGGGGGGCTTACTGTACACCACTCTGAAGGACAGCCTAGAAAAACGTGTAAAGGTAAAGGTAAAGGTACCCCTGCCCATACGGGCCAGTCTTGACAGACTCTAGGGTTGTGCGCCCATCTCACTCAAGAGGCCGGGGGCCAGCGCTGTCCGGAGACACTTCCGGGTCACGTGGCCAGCGTGACATCGCTGCTCTGGCGAGCCAGAGCCGCACACAGAAACGCCGTTTACCTTCCCGCTAGTAAGCGGTCCCTATTTATCTACTTGCACCTGGGGGTGCTTTTGAACTGCTAGGTGGCAGGCGCTGGGACGAGCAACGGGAGCGCACCCCGCCGCTAGGGATTATCGCAACCGCCGACCTTTGGATCGGGCAAGCCTAGGCCACTGAGCTTATTACCCACAGCGGCCACCCGCGTCCCTATTAAAACGTGTAAAAGCAACCTTCTAAAAGCCGACATGACTTATGCACAATAACTTCATATTCTGATAGAATATGTATTGCATTACCTTCTGGTAATAAACTACACTCTTTCCTATCTTTAATTTCTTAAAATTTGTAAATATAGAATATATTAATAGTTACCAGAAAGAAACAAAATGGTGTCTTCTTTTTGTATAAAGGACGTAATGAATCATGTGAAAGGAATACAGTGGTACCTCGGGTTAAGTACTTAATTCGTTCCGGAGGTCTGTACTTAACCTGAAACTGTTCTTAACCTGAAGCACCACTTTAGCTAATGGGGCCTCCTGCTGCCGCCGCCGCTGCTGGAGCATGATTTCTGTTCTCATCCTGAAGCAAAGTTCTTAACCTGAAGCACTATTTCTGGGTTAGCGGAGTCTGTAACCTGAAGCGTATGTAACCTGAAGCGTATATAACCCGAGGTACCACTGTATCTTAAAAGACAAGAAGAAGCGAAGCAAGGCAGTTCAGAAATAGGCAAAAGCACTTCTGAGTGGAGGTTTATATAATTCGCCTAATGCAAAAATAAAAACGTAAGAGCTTGGTTTTTTTCTGGGTCTGATTGTCACTTTTTCCTTCACAGAATTTTGACTCTGACATCAGCAGCGTGGGAATAGATGGATGCTGGCAGGCTGATAGCCAGCGGATTCTGAATGAGGTGATGGTAGAACACTTTTTCCGGCAAGGAATGCTAGATGTAGCTGAGGAACTTTGCCAGGTAATTGCAGCTAGAATTCCCCATTCCTGGGAAGCAAAATAATTTTTTCACCTATTGTTTTAGTTGAATTTTCAGGCGACTGTGGAGTCTTCACCCCACGTTCTAATGGTCCGCGGACACAAAAACACTATTTTGCCCATCTGTAAAAATAACTAAAGAATGTGTGATATGATCTTGTTTTTCAGGAGTCCGGACTTTCGATAGACCAAAGTCAAAAGCAGCCGTTTGTGGAGCTCAACCGAATATTGGAAGCACTTAAAGTTAGAGTTTTGAGACCTGCGTTAGAGTGAGTTACTCATCTGTTTTATTTTATTTATTTATTTATTTATTTATTATTTAATATTCAGATAAAACGCCATCTAAAGTCTCTCATTTTAACATATTCATTAATGCTGGGGATTCTCAAGTGAATAGATGTTCACTAAATGTGTTCCAGCTGGGCTGAAATCCCAAAACTCGAGTGGGGCTTGCCTGCAGCAGGAATTGTCCAATATCAGGGTGGGTCTATGTTCCATAGGAACTGGCAGCTCTCAGGTGAAGCAGACATTGTGCCCACAATGGCGACGAACCAACAAATGGTTTGATCTGCTTGTTAGGTACCTAAGCTGAGCCCATCATCTGAGAGCTAACACTAATTTAAAGTGACAGAGCCCGCTTTAGACTTGTGTCCTCGTATTTTTTTATAGCATATTAGGAACTGCAGTTTGTTAAGGGAAGTTGAGAGTTGTTAGTAAAGGTAAAGGGACCCCTGACCACTAGGTCCAGTCGTGACTGACTCTGGGGTTGCGGCGCTCATCTCGCTTTATTGGCCGAGGGAGCCGGCGTACAGCTTCCGGGTCATGTGGCCAGCATGACTAAGCCGCTTCTGGCGAACCAGAGCAGCGCACGGAAACGCCGTTTACCTTCCCGCTGGAGCAGTACCTATTTATCTACTTGCACTGGTGTGCTTTCGAATTGCTTGGTGGGCAGGAGCTGGGACCAAACAACGGGAGCTCACCCCGTCGCGGGGATTTGAACCGCCGACCTTCTGATCGGCAAGCCCTAGGTTCTGTGGTTTAACCCACAGCGCCACCCGCGTCCCTTGAGAGTTGTTAGGAGACCCCTATTCCTCTCACAGGGCTACAATTCAGAGTTGTTGTTGTAGTAGTAGTAGTTGTTATTATTTATTGAATATGTATACCGCCCTATACCCAGAGGTCTTGGGGCGGTTCACAGAGTTCCCTGGAAAGAGGGATTGATTGCAAATGCGCAGATTTAATGGGTGATATGCCGCTAATTCATCGAGTAGTCCCATTGAAATCTATGAACCTAAGTTCTGTGGTTTCAGTAGGCCTGTTCTGAGAATGACTAACACCGAATATCGCCAATTAACTCTGTGCATTTGCCTTTTCAGCAAAATGCAGCTGAACACCTATTTGCATCAAACTTAAGTTACTGAAAAATTGATAAAATACAAGCAGAGTGATTTTAGGTTTTAACCTCTGATTAATCAGCTGATGAGTTGCCCTTCATAACTTTATGTCAGCTTTGTTATATTGTTTTGAACTTCCATGCTCATGTAAAGTTAAGCTGCCCTGATATAAGAGACCCATCTATCTGTCTGTCTCTCCATCTCACACACACATAAAAAGTTTGAAAATAGCATACATGGATTTATCAATCCTTATGCTTTTTCATTTGTGTGTGATACTGTTTCTCTTTGGCCAGAGTGCCTTTTCTTTTTAATTATCTAGGTCAGTGGTAGCCGAAATTGTGGATGTTGCTAGACAACAACTCCCATTATCCTTGACCATAAGCCATTCTGGCTGGGGCTGATGGAAATTGGAGTCCAAGAAAATCTGGAGGGCACTATCTGGTCTAGGTATTTGCCAGATTCTAGAGTTTTCATTTCTCCAAAGTTTCCAGGAGAATGAAATGTCTGAATAAATATACATTATTGGAGGAAGGTGGTGGCCTGCCCACACTCAGGGCTGTTAATACAGACAAGGAAAATTATTGTGTTCATTTGTATATTTTTAACAAAAATGTAAACATCAGCAATAATGAAAAGGTATACCAGGAAATCTCCTGTTTCTCAAGCATTAAACAAAAGAGTGAAGTAGAAATATTTATTTGTGTGCAAGTGTTAACTATATCTGTCTTTTCCATTATCGATCAGCAAATATAGGGCAGTATATAAATTCAATAAGTAATAATAGTAATATTTCTTCACCCGCGGCTTCATTTTTCAGAGTTGGTTGTGGTCCACAGCCCATGCTCCCACACACATATATGGAAATCAGTTCCCTTGAAATTTGTATAACTTGCCTTCAAATCCCAAATGTAATTCTGGGAAGTCACTGCAATCCAATCTCTGCAGTCCCTGGCCTTTAATCACTGCTCCAGAGAAACAGAGCATTGAAAACAGTCTTCAGGATGTGTGACAAACAGTATTAATGTTTACTCAGTAAGCTGAATGGAACGTTTAGAACTGCTAATTGCAGGTTATTAGCCAGCGTAATTTTTCATTGGTTCACAAAATACAAGCGAGAAATATTTACTTGTAACTATTGCAAATAAATCTACACAAGTTACTAGTCCATAAAATGTTTTTCTAACTCCTTTTCCCACATGCAAGTCACTTTGGCACATCAGTAGCTGAGAGGTGGGGACCTCATATTCTTCCAGTTTATGGGAACCTCCCTGCCTGGTTGCCTAGAGATAATTCATACCTGGTACGGGAATGTAGGTGAGTGGCTGTTTACAAGCCAGAGGTGGTTCTTTACAATTCTGATCCCAATTGCAACTGATGACACTCAGCCGCCCTCAGGGTTTCTTCCTCCCAGGACCTGTTAAGCCACAACTCCTCGGAAATGATCTGCCAATTTTTTAACCGCGAATTTTAGTGCAAGACAATGAATGACTTCTGTGACCAGAGGGCGAAAAAGTAGTGCTCAAGCCAACCAAACTGAAAAGGAGCTAGTGGTATTAAAAGAACAGTCGTGGTATTCTGTCTCCAGGTTGAACCAACCCGCCCCCCCCGCCCCCCCCATTGGTAGCATGTTAAAAGTTCCTACAGGGAAAATGTTGTGAACGGACATTGAAACACCCTGAGGGAAAAGGTTGAATTGATAAACCAGTGTTCCTATTAAGGTAAATTTGCTTTTTTTTTCTTTCCCCTTTTTGTTCCATTATATCTTAGGTGGGCTGTATCAAACAGAGAAATGCTTATGGCACAGAACAGCTCTTTAGAATTTAAGCTACACAGATTATATTTTATTAGTTTATTAATGGGCGGAACTACAAACCAGAGAGAAGCACTGCAATACGCTAAAAACTTTCAGCCATTTGCTCTAAACCATCAGAAAGGTAAGTCGCATTAAATGCACCCCAGAGTCCCGAGTTCGTATTTGTACGCTAAGAATGGTGATTGTACTGAATTTACGATGTGTACTTCTTATCTTCATATACTGTATTTTTCGCTCTATTAGATGCACCGGACGATTGGACGCACCTAGTTTTCAGGGGAAGAAAACAAGAAATAAGAAGCCAACGCAAAGCACCCTGAGCTAAGAGGGAGCGCTCCTCCATCTTCGCTCAGGAGGCTTTGCGGGGCTACCCCTGAAGCCAGGAGAGCAAGTGGGATCGGTGCGCACCAATCCCTCTTGCCTTCCTGACTTCAGCGAAAGCAAGCCTGCTGGTTTTCCTCCCAGAAGAGCTGCACGCTCTTTAAAGGGAGTGTGGCTCTTGGGGGCTTTTCTGGGAGGTGGGGGAAGGGACAGAGCCGCCCGCTCTGTCCCTTCCTCCACCTCTCGCAAAAGCCAGGGATAGCCGCACGAAACCTCCGCAGGAGAGTGGGATGAAGGCTACCCGCTCCCCTGCGGAGGTTTCACATGGCTAAGCCAGAAGCTAGAACAGCCAGCGGGATCCCGCTCGCTGTCCTGGCTTCCTCTTTAGGCGCGCACAGCCTCTCCCGGGGAAGGGGAGCCTTCCTCCTCTGCCCTGGAGAGGCTGCGTGTGGCTAAGGCTCCCCCAAGAGCCACACTACCTTTAAAGAGCACACGGAGTGTGTGTGTGCGGCTCTTGGGGGCTTTTCCCCTAGGAGGGACAAGGGCCCAAGAGCCGCAAACATGCTCCACGCTGCTCTTTAAAGGGAGCGCTGGCAGAACCTCCTGCCTGCATTCGCTCCACAAGACGCGCACACATTTCCCCTTACTTTTTAGGAGGGGAAAAGTGCGTCTTATAGAGCAAAAAATACGGTATTTTGATTATCCTTTTTTGGGGGTTTTATCTGCTAGCTATAGGCACACTTGTCCATCCCTTCAAAAAGGCAAAAATGAGATACAAAAAGCCCTTCCTCAACAGTCTGTATTGTTTGTAACATCCTCCCATTGAAATATTTCCGAGGGTCCAAAGAGCTGCTTTAAGCAAGCCAAGAACCACTGGGACTGTCCCCCTGCTCCCCGTTTGCAATACCACAAGTTCATTTTTGGAACTCTCTTCTGTTTTGGAATCATTTTTCCATGCAACATGACAGAAAGGTGCTGTTCAAGAAACACAAGTACAAACGACACTTTGGCGCACGGATGTTAAGTGGTTGTTTAGATCCCAACCCGGGGGCTCATATTCTTGTGATGTTCTTTTGTATAAACTTGATCACCGCCACCAGGGTGTTCAGGCTTAAAAATATGAAAAGAATCTTGAAATCCATTTTACAAGCACACATGGGTAGGCAAACTAAGGCCCGGGGACCGGATCCAGCCCAATCGCCTTCTCAATCCAGCCCAGGAATCTGCGTGTTTTTACATGAGTAGAATGTGTGCTTTTATTTCAAATGCATCTCTGGGTTATTTGTGGGGCATAGGAATTCGTTCATTCCCCCCCCCCCCAAAATATAGTCTGCCCCCCACAAGGTCTGAGGGATAGTGGACCCGCACCCTGCTGAAAAAGTTTGCTTACCCCTGTAAAGGCACAGAACCAGAACCCTTACAAATCAATAAAAGGTAAAAGGTAAAGGTACCCCTGCCCGTACAGGCCAGTCTTGACAGACTCTAGGGTTGTGCGCCCATCTCACTCAAGAGGCCGGGGGTCAGCGCTGTCCGCAGACACTTCCGGGTCACGTGGCCAGCGTGACATCGCTGCTCTGGCGAGCCAGAGCCGCACACGGAAACGCCGTTTACCTTCCCGCTAGTAAGCGGTCCCTATTTATCTACTTGCACCCAGGAGTGCTTTCGAACTGCTAGGTTGGCAGGCGCTGGGACCGAACAACGGGAGCGCACCCCGCCGCGGGGATTCGAACCGCCGACCTTTCGATCAGCAAGCCCTAGGCGCTGAGGCTTTTACCCACAGCGCCACCCGCGTCAAATCAATGGCTTCATTCAATGGCTTCATTCATACAAATCAATGGCTTCATTCAAATGCCATGATAAACTACGGTTGGTTATTTACGGTTGTAAATAATGTGGCTTCCTTTCTGAATTGCCAGTTATTATGTTTTCATTCATATATTCCTTCCCTCTCTGTATGTATCTTCAGGTTGTGCATATATGTGCTAAGCATACGTTTATTTTCCTCGACATATATATAAAGAATGGAATACATGAACTACAGCTCCTCTGACTTTCCACAGATATTCAAGTTTTGATGGGAAGCTTAGTGTACCTGAGGCAAGGAATCGAAAATTCTCCGTACGTCCATTTGTTGGATGCCAATCAGTGGGCGGACATCTGCGACATCTTTACAAGGGATGCCTGCGCTCTGCTGGGACTCTCGGTTGAATCGCCTCTTAGCGTTAGGTATGGCTGCTTTCATGCCAGACATATTTTAAAGATTTGGCTATCTAAACCTCACCTAGTCGTTGGCATCTTAGGAATACAGATTTGCCTAAAGTCCTTCCATGGAGATAGAACTGGAAATATACTTAAACATAATGTGGCGTCTGGAAATGGTTTGTTCCAGCAGTGATTCACAGTGTGGTGCACTTTTCTTTCAGACAGACTGCAGCACTGAATACAGAGATTTCTTCCACGTACCGTATTTTTCCATGTATAAGACGCTGCCTATTTTGGGGGACTCAAATTTAAGAAAATGAGGGGAGATGGCACAGAGTTGTTGAGCTTTTTATGGCGGGGATTAGCCAGGGGTGCCGAGCTGTTTTTAGGGGGGATTGCTGAAAATTGCTCACCTGCATGCATTGCAAAATCTGCCTCTCGTTTGTCTCCTCATTGGCAGAAGCTGCCAGTCTCCCACCATATTGCCGCAGCGCCAGCCAATGAACGCTTGCCATCGATGCAGCAACCAATAACCCGCACAATAGCCGCTCACAGCTGAGGGCGCAACCAATCAAACTTCCACCCTATGCGCTACCCATGTCTAAGACGTCCCCCGCTTTTTAGCATAATTTTTTAAAGAAAAACACCTTGTCTTATACACAGAAAAGTACAGTGCTTCCTTCAATGCTACTTTCCTTCTCCTTGTATTAGGATAAGAATGCAAATCCTCTTCTATAGGTAGCCTTGGGGAAGCCAATATCCCCTCCCCCTTGGCCCTCTATCTCCAGTGTTGGGAAGGGAATGGTGATGGCTGGTCTACCTTACGGGGTTGTTGTAAGGTTTGCTGACAATAATAATAATAATAATAATAATAATAATAATAATAATAATAATAATAATAATATCTTTATTGTCATTACCCCCTCTCGGGGACAACGAAATTACTTGACTGCTCAATAAAAACACTAATTAAAACAATACAGTATAGTACAGCAAGGAAGATTAGATGACTTTCAAAGTCCAGGCTTCCCATTCAGGGCTGAGATCGCTCTGGAGAACAAGCTGTTCTTAAGACGGCTCGTTCTTGTCTTCATCGTCCTGTATCTCCGTCCCGACGGCAGGAGCTCGAAGAGACAGTGGCCAGGATGCGATGGATCTTTTACTATGTCCAGTGCCTTCCTATGGCACCTTGTGGCATAAATCTGCTCTAAGGTGGAGAGTGGGCAGCCAACAATGCTCTCTGCTGCCTTAACAACTCTGCACAACCCCCTCCTGTCCTGGGTAGTACAGCTTCCGTACCACACACATAAGCCATAAGTGAAATTATAGAATCATAGGATTGTGGAGTTGAAAGGGACCCTGAGGGTCATCCAGTCCAACCCTCTGCAGTGCCGGGATAATGGCTAAAGCATCCACAACAGATGGCCATACAACCGCTGCTTTAAAACCTCCAAGGTGAAGGTTAAAAACCTGTAAGTAAATGCTATAGGTCAGGGGATGGTGACAGCAGTCACGAAATTAAAAGACGCCTGCTTCTTGGAAGAAAAGCAATGACAAACTTAGGCAGCATCTTAAAAAGCAGAGACATCACCTTGCCAACAAAGGTCCGTATAGTCAAAGCTATGGTTTTCCCAGTAGTGATGTATGGAAGTGAGAGCTGGACCATAAAGAAGGCTGATCGCCGAAGAATTGATGCTTTTGAATTAATGGTGCTGGAGGAGACTCTTGAGAGTCCCATGGACTGCAAGAAGATCAAACCTCTCCATTCTGAAGGAAATTGGCCCTGAGTGCTCACTGGAAGGACAGATCGTGAAGCTGAGGCTCCAAGACTTTGGCCACCTCATGAGAAGAGAAGAGTCCCTGGAAAAGACCCTGATGTTGGAAAAGATGGAGGGCACAAGGAGAAGGGGACGACAGAGGACGAGATGGTTGGACAGTGTTCTCGAAGCTACCAGCATGAGTTTGACCAAACTGCGGGAGGCAGTGGAAGACAGGAGAGCCTGGCGTGCTCTGGTCCAGGGGGTCACGAAGAGTCGGACATGACTAAACAACTAAACAACAACAACATAGGTCGGGGTGGCCAACTTCCAAGAGACTGCAATCTACTCACAGAATTAAAAACTAGCAGTGATCTACCTCCGTTTTATTGGGGGTCATGTCAAAGTTAATGAGGTTTTTTTAGGGAGGGGGAAAGCCCCGTTTTCTTGGGGTTCAGGTCAAAGTTGTTGAGCTTTTAAATTATTCTGGGGTCAAAGAGAAACAGCAACTAATCACCGAAGGTTGGGGGAAAAACAGCCTCGGTTTGAAAACTCCGTCTTCCGTTCTCCAACAACCAAAACCTCAAAGGGATTGACCAGTAGATTGCAGTCGACGTGTTGAACATCCCTGCTATAGGTAAAGCCACTTTGAGAGTTTAGAAGGGGAAATGGCACATAATTGTTAATACAAAGAGTTGTGGGAGTAAGCCCAGTTTAACTCTACTTCTGAGTGGATATGCCTGGGATTACTCTGTAAAGCTCTCTTGGGCTCAGAGAAGTACTTTTGTGGTTCCTTCGTTGCCGACTGTAGTTAAGCTGCCCTGATAGCTTGACTGAATGGAAAGGCATTAAAATACACAAATAAACCAAGTGAAGCAATACTTAAAGGTTGTTTGTAGAGTCTTCACTTTTTTTCTGAACAAAAATTATATTTTACTAAACAAGTACTGTGTAGAGAGATCAGTACAGCATACCCCAAAATAAGAACCAGCACCACCAGGGGGAGTTGTTTCATTTCGCATGGAAAAAAATCAGCACTTTTAGAAGTTCATTTTGTCAGTTCAGGAGGAAAACAGCAGCAAGATACATGGGCCAGTGATGCCTTTTAATGTTAAGCATGTCAAATTAACAGAAATAGTATTGGGGTCCAGTGCTCCCCATCATGCTCGGAGTTAATTGCTGGACTAAACGAAAACAAGTTGCGAGTGGAAGACACTCTGGAAGAATGGCAGATGAAGGTGATGGACTATATGGAACTGGTGGAAATGACCGGCAGAATCCGAGACCAGGGAGAAGAGTCGGTGGAAGAAGATTGGAAGAAATTTAAAGACTATCTACAGAAACACTGCAAAATTAATGAATGTTAGAATGATGTTGGATTGAAGTTAAGCGGTTTTTAGTAGCAATGTTATAAGGAAATATGTAACATGGTTTGTTAACAGGTAATAATATAAAGCTATAATACATTAAGATAAAATATTAAGATAAAATCAAAGAGGGAAAGGATTTGCTGAACTAACTAATTGAACTGGAATACAAAAAAGGGAGGTGTGAGGAGGTCAGGGAAACAAGCAAATGAAAGATAAGATTTGGAAAAACTGATCTGTTTTTAACTGTTTTTACTTTGTATTTTCTTTTTCTTTAAAGCGGTTGTATGGCCATCTGTTGTGGATGCTTTAGCCATTATCCCGGCACTGCAGAGGGTTGGACTGGATGACCCTCAGGGTCCCTTTCAACTCCACAATCCTATGATTCTATAATTTCACTTATGGCTTATGTGTGTGGTACGGAAGCTGTACTACCCAGGACAGGAGGGGGTTGTGCAGAGTTGTTAAGGCAGCAGAGAGCATTGTTGGCTGCCCACTCTCCACCTTAGAGCAGATTTATGCCACAAGGTGCCATAGGAAGGCACTGGACATAGTAAAAGATCCATCGCATCCTGGCCACTGTCTCTTCGAGCTCCTGCCGTCGGGACGGAGATACAGGACGATGAAGACAAGAACGAGCCGTCTTAAGAACAGCTTGTTCTCCAGAGCGATCTCAGCCCTGAATGGGAAGCCTGGACTTTGAAAGTCATCTAATCTTCCTTGCTGTACTATACTGTATTGTTTTAATTAGTGTTTTTATTGAGCAGTCAAGTAATTTCGTTGTCCCCGAGAGGGGGTAATGACAATAAAGATATTATTATTATTATTATTATTATTATTATTATTATTATTATTATTATTATTGTCAGCAAACCTTACAACAACCCCGTAAGGTAGACCAGCCATCACCATTCCCTTCCCAACACTGGAGATAGAGGGTCAAGGGGGAGGGGATATTGGCTTCCCCAAGGCTACCTATAGAAGAGGATTTGCATTCTTATCCTAATACAAGGAGAAGGAAAGTAGCATTGAAGGAAGCACTGTACTTTTCTGTGTATAAGACAAGGTGTTTTTCTTTAAAAAATTATGCTAAAAAGCGGGGGACGTCTTAGACATGGGTAGCGCATAGGGTGGAAGTTTGATTGGTTGCGCCCTCAGCTGTGAGCGGCTATTGTGCGGGTTATTGGTTGCTGCATCGATGGCAAGCGTTCATTGGCTGGCGCTGCGGCAATATGGTGGGAGACTGGCAGCTTCTGCCAATGAGGAGACAAACGAGAGGCAGATTTTGCAATGCATGCAGGTGAGCAATTTTCAGCAATCCCCCCTAAAAACAGCTCGGCACCCCTGGCTAATCCCCGCCATAAAAAGCTCAACAACTCTGTGCCATCTCCCCTCATTTTCTTAAATTTGAGTCCCCCAAAATAGGCAGCGTCTTATACATGGAAAAATACGGTACGTGGAAGAAATCTCTGTATTCAGTGCTGCAGTCTGTCTGAAAGAAAAGTGCACCACACTGTGAATCACTGCTGGAACAAACCATTTCCAGACGCCACATTATGTTTAAGTATATTTCCAGTTCTATCTCCATGGAAGGACTTTAGGCAAATCTGTATTCCTAAGATGCCAACGACTAGGTGAGGTTTAGATAGCCAAATCTTTAAAATATGTCTGGCATGAAAGCAGCCATACCTAACGCTAAGAGGCGATTCAACCGAGAGTCCCAGCAGAGCGCAGGCATCCCTTGTAAAGATGTCGCAGATGTCCGCCCACTGATTGGCATCCAACAAATGGACGTACGGAGAATTTTCGATTCCTTGCCTCAGGTACACTAAGCTTCCCATCAAAACTTGAATATCTGTGGAAAGTCAGAGGAGCTGTAGTTCATGTATTCCATTCTTTATATATATGTCGAGGGAAAATAAACGTATGCTTAGCACATATATGCACAACCTGAAGATACATACAGAGAGGAAGGAATATATGAATGAAAACATAATAACTGGCAATTCAGAAAGGAAGCCACATTATTTACAACCGTAAATAACCAACCGTAGTTTATCATGGCATTTGAATGAAGCCATTGATTTGTATGAATGAAGCCATTGAATGAAGCCATTGATTTGACGCGGGTGGCGCTGTGGGTAAAAGCCTCAGCGCCTAGGGCTTGCCGATCGAAAGGTCGGCGGTTCGAATCCCCGCGGCGGGGTGCGCTCCCGTTGTTCGGTCCCAGCGCCTGCCAACCTAGCAGTTCGAAAGCACTCCTGGGTGCAAGTAGATAAATAGGGACCGCTTACTAGCGGGAAGGTAAACGGCGTTTCCGTGTGCGGCTCTGGCTCGCCAGAGCAGCGATGTCACGCTGGCCACGTGACCCAGAAGTGTCTGCGGACAGCGCTGGCCCCCGGCCTCTTGAGTGAGATGGGCGCACAACCCTACAGTCTGTCAAGACTGGCCTGTACGGGCAGGGGTACCTTTACCTTTTACCTTTTATTGATTTGTAAGGGTTCTGGTTCTGTGCCTTTACAGGGGTAAGCAAACTTTTTCAGCAGGGTGCGGGTCCACTATCCCTCAGACCTTGTGGGGGGCCAGACTATATTTTGGGGGGGGGGGGAATGAACGAATTCCTATGCCCCACAAATAACCCAGAGATGCATTTTAAATAAAAGCACACATCCTACTCATGTAAAAACACACAGATTCCTGGGCTGGATTGAGAGGCGATTGGGCTGGCATCCGGTCCCGGGCCTTAGTTTGCCCTACCCATGTGTGCTTGTAAAATGGATTTCAAGATTCTTTTCATATTTTTAAGCTCCTGAACATCCTGGCGGCGGTGATCTAAGTTTATACAAAAGAACATCACAGAATATGAGCCCCCGAGGTTGGGATCTAAACAACCACTTAACATCCGTGCGCCAAAGTGTCGTTTGTACTTGTGTTTCTTGAACAGCACCTTTCTGTCATGTTGCATGGAAAAAATGATTCCAAAACAGAAGAGAGTTCCAAAAATGAACTTGTGGTATTGCAAACGGGGAGCAGGGGACAGTCCCAGTGGTTCTTGGCTTGCTTAAAGCAGCTCTTTGGACCCTCCGGAAATATTTCAATGGAGGATGTTACAAACAATTACAGACTGTTGGATGGAAGGGCTTTTTGTATTCTCATTTTTTGCCTTTTGAAGGAGGACAAGTGTCCTATAGCCTAGCAGATAAAACCCCCAAAAGGATAATCAAAAATACCCCCGTATTTTTTGCTCTATAGACGCACTTTTCCCCTCCTAAAAAGTAAGGGAAATGTGTGCGCGTCTTGTGGAGCGAATGCAGGCAGGCAGGTTCTGCCAGCGCTCCCTTTAAAGAGCAGCGTGGAGCATGTTTGCGGCTCTTGGGCCCTTGTCCCTCCTAGGGGAAAAGCCCCCAAGAGCCGCACAACACACACTCCGTGTGCCTCTTTAAAGGTAGTGTGGCTCTTGGGGGAGCCTTAGCCACACGCAGCCTCTCCAGGGCAGAGGAGGAAGGCTCCCCTTCCCCGGGAGAGGCTGTGCGCGCCTAAAGAGGAAGCCAGGACAGCGAGCGGATCCCGCTGGCTGTTCTAGCTTCTGGCTTAGCCATGTGAAACCTCCGCAGGGGAGCGGGTAGCCTTCATCCCGCTCTCCTGCGGAGGTTTCGTGCGGCTATCCCTGGCTTTTTGCGAGAGGTGGAGGAAGGGACAGAGCGGGCGGCTCTGTCCCTTCCCCACCTCCCAGAAAAGCCCCCAAGAGCCACACTCCCTTTAAAGAGCGTGCAGCTCTTCTGGGAGGAAAACCAGCAGGCTTGCTTTCGCTGAAGTCAGGAAGGCAAGAGGGATTGGTGCGCACCGATCCCGCTTGCTCTCCTGGCTTCAGGGGTAGCCCCGCAAAGCCTCCTGAGCGAAGATGGAGGAGCGCTCCCTCTTAGCTCAGGGTGCTTTGCGTTGGCTTCTTATTTCTTGTTTTCTTCCCCTGAAAACTAGGTGCGTCCAATCGTCCGGTGCATCTAATAGAGCGAAAAATACAGTATATGAAGATAAGAAGTACACATCGTAAAATTCAGTACAATCACCATTCTTAGCGTACAAATACGAACTCCGGACTCTGGGGTGCATTTAATGCGACTTACCTTTCTGATGGTTTTAGAGCAAATGGCTGAAAAGTTTTTAGCGTATTGCAGTGCTTCTCTCTGGTTTGTAGTTCCGCCCATTAATAAACTAATAAATATAATCTGTGTAGCTTAAATTCTAAAGAGCTGTTCTGTGCCATAAGCATTTCTCTGTTTGATACAGCCCACCTAAGATATAATGGAACAAAAAGGGGAAAGGAAAAAAAAGCAAATTTACCTTAATAGGAACACTGGTTTATCAATTCAACCTTTTCCCTCAGGGTGTTTCAATGTCCGTTCACAACATTTTCCCTGTAGGACTTTTAACATGCTACCAATGGGGGGGCGGGGGGGGGCGGGTTGGTTCAACCTGGAGACAGAATACCCACGACTGTTTCTTTAATACCACTAGCTCCTTTTCAGTTTGGTTGGCTTGAGCACTACTTTTTCGCCCTCTGGTCACAGAAGTCATCATTGTCTTGCACTAAAATTCGCGGTTAAAAAATTGGCAGATTCATTTCCGAGGAGTTGTGGCTTAACAGGTCCTGGGAGGAAGAAACCCTGAGGCGGCTGAGTGTCATCAGTTGCAATTGGGATCAGAATTGTAAAGAACCACCTCTGGCTTGTAAACAGCCACTCACCTACATTCCGTACCAGGTATGATTATCTCTAGGCAACCAGGCAGGGAGGTTCCCATAAACTGGAAGAATATGAGGTCCCCACCTCTCGGCTACTGATGTGCCAAAGTGACTTGCATGTGGGAAAAGGAGTTAGAAAAACATTTTATGGACTAGTAACTTGTGTAGATTATTTGCAATAGTTACAAGTAAATATTTTCTCGCTTGTATTTTGTGAACCAATGAAAAATTACGCTGGCTAATAACCTGCAATTAGCAGTTCTAACGTTCCATTCAGCTTACTGAGTAAACATTAATACTCGTTTGTCACACATCCTGAGGACCTGTTTCTCAATGCTTCTGGTTTCTCTGGAGGCAGTGAATTAAAGGCCCAGGGACTGCCAGAGAGAATTGGATTTGCAGTGACTTCCCAGAATTACATTTGGGATTTTGAAGGCAAGTTATACAAATTTCAAGGGAACTGATTTCCATATATGTGTGTGGGAGCATGGGCTGTGGACCACAACCAACTCTGAAAAATGAAAGCCGCGGGTGAAGAAATATTACTATTATTACTTATTGAATTTATATACCGCCCTATATTTGCTGATCGCATAATTGGAAAAGACAGATATAGTTAACACTGTGCCACACAAATAAATATTTCTACTTTCACTCTTTTTGTTTAATGCCTTGAGAAACAGGAGATTTCCTGGTATACCTTTTCATTTTGCTGATGTTTTACATTCTTTTGTTAAAAATATACAAATGAACACAAATAATTTTCCTTGTCTGTATTAACAGCCCTGAGGTGTGGGCAGGCCACCACCTCTCCTCCAATAATGTATATTTATTCAGACATTTCATTCTCCTGGAAACTTTGGAGAAATGAAACTCTAGAATCTGGCAAATACCCTATGACCAGATAGTGCCCTCCAGATTTTCTTGGACTCCAATTTCCATCAGCCCCAGCCAGAATGGCTTATGGTCAAGGATAATGGGAGTTGTTGTCTAGCAACATCCACAATTTCGGCTACCACTGACCTAGATAATTAAAAAGAAAAGGCACTCTGGCCAAAGAGAAACAGTATCACACACAAATGAAAAAGCGTAAGGATTGATAAATCCATGTATGCTATTTTCAAACTTTTTATGTGTGTGTGAGATGGAGAGACAGACAGATAGATGGGTCTCTTATATCAGGGCAGCTTAACTTTACATGAGCATGGCAGTTCAAAACAATATAACAAAGCTGACATAATGTTATGAAGGGCAACTCATCAGCTGATTAATCAGAGGTTAAAACCTAAAATCACTCTGCTTGTATTTTATCAATTTTTCAGTAACTTAAGTTTGATGCAAATAGGTGTTCAGCTGCATTTTGCTGAAAAGGCAAATGCACAGAGTTAATTGGCGATATTCGGTGTTAGTCATTCTCAGAACAGGCCTACTGAAACCACAGAACTTAGGTTCATAGATTTCAATGGGACTACTCGATAAATTAGCGGCATATCACCCATTAAATCTGCGCATTTGCAATCAATCCCTCTTTCCAGGGAACTCTGTGAACCGCCCCAAGACCTCTGGGTATAGGGCGGTATACATATTCAATAAATAATAACTACTACTACTACTACAACAACTCTGAATTGTAGCCCTGTGAGAGGAATAGGGGTCTCCTAACAACTCTCAAGGGACGCGGGTGGCGCTGTGGGTTAAACCACAGAACCTAGGGCTTGCCGATCAGAAGGTCGGCGGTTCAAATCCCCGCGACGGGGTGAGCTCCCGTTGTTCGGTCCCAGCTCCTGCCCACCTAGCAATTCGAAAGCACACCAGTGCAAGTAGATAAATAGGTACTGCTCCGGCGGGAAGGTAAACGGCATTTCTGTGCGCTGCTCTGGTTCGCCAGAAGCGGCTTAGTCATGCTGGCCACATGACCCAGAAGCTGTACGCCGGCTCCCTCGGCCAGTAAAGCGAGATGAGCGCCGCAACCCCAGAGTCGGTCACGACTGGACCTAATGGTCAGGGGTCCCTTTACCTTTACTAACAACTCTCAACTTCCCTTAACAAACTGCAGTTCCTAATATGCTATAAAAAAATACGAGGACACAAGTCTAAAGCGGGCTCTGTCACTTTAAATTAGTGTTAGCTCTCAGATGATGGGCTCAGCTTAGGTACCTAACAAGCTGATCAAACCATTTGTTGGTTCGTCGCCATTGTGGGCACAATGTCTGCTTCACCTGAGAGCTGCCAGTTCCTATGGAACATAGACCCACCCTGATATTGGACAATTCCTGCTGCAGGCAAGCCCCACTCGAGTTTTGGGATTTCAGCCCAGCTGGAACACATTTAGTGAACATCTATTCACTTGAGAATCCCCAGCATTAATGAATATGTTAAAATGAGAGACTTTAGATGGCGTTTTATCTGAATATTAAATAATAAATAAATAAATAAATAAAATAAAATAAAACAGATGAGTAACTCACTCTAACGCAGGTCTCAAAACTCTAACTTTAAGTGCTTCCAATATTCGGTTGAGCTCCACAAACGGCTGCTTTTGACTTTGGTCTATCGAAAGTCCGGACTCCTGAAAAACAAGATCATATCACACATTCTTTAGTTATTTTTACAGATGGGCAAAATAGTGTTTTTGTGTCCGCGGACCATTAGAACATGGGGTGAAGACTCCACAGTCGCCTGAAAATTCAACTAAAACAATAGGTGAAAAAATTATTTTGCTTCCCAGGAATGGGGAATTCTAGCTGCAATTACCTGGCAAAGTTCCTCAGCTACATCTAGCATTCCTTGCCGGAAAAAGTGTTCTACCATCACCTCATTCAGAATCCGCTGGCTATCAGCCTGCCAGCATCCATCTATTCCCACGCTGCTGATGTCAGAGTCAAAATTCTGTGAAGGAAAAAGTGACAATCAGACCCAGAAAAAAACCAAGCTCTTACGTTTTTATTTTTGCATTAGGCGAATTATATAAACCTCCACTCAGAAGTGCTTTTGCCTATTTCTGAACTGCCTTGCTTCGCTTCTTCTTGTCTTTTAAGATACAGTGGTACCTCGGGTTATATACGCTTCAGGTTACATACGCTTCAGGTTACAGACTCCGCTAACCCAGAAATAGTGCTTCAGGTTAAGAACTTTGCTTCAGGATGAGAACAGAAATCATGCTCCAGCAGCGCGGCAGCAGCAGGAGGCCCCATTAGCCTAAAGTGGTGCTTCAGGTTAAGAACAGTTTCAGGTTAAGAACAGACCTCCGGAACGAATTAAGTACTTAACCCGAGGTACCAGCTGTATTCCTTTCACATGATTCATTACGTTCCTTTATACAAAAAGAAGACAACCATTTTATGTTTCTTTCTGGAACTATTAATATATTCTCTATTTAACAAATTTTAAGGAAATTAAAGATCGGAAAGAGGTGTAGTTTATTACCAGAAGGTAATGCAATACATATTCTATCAGAATATGAAGTTATTTGCATAAGTCATGTCGGCTTTTAGAAGGTTGCTTTACACGTTTTAATAGGGGACGCGGGGTTGGCGCTGTGGTAAAAGCCTCAGTGCCTAGGGCTTGCCGATCGAAAGGTCGGCGGTTCGAATCCCTGCGGCGGGGTGCGCTCCCGTTGCTCGGGTCCCAGCGCCTGCCCAACTAGCAGTTCAAAAGCACCCCAGGTGCAAGTAGATAAATTAGGGGACCGGCTTACTAGCGGGGAAGGTAAACGGCGTTTCTGTGTGCGGCTCTGGCTCGCACAGAGCAGCGATGTCACGCTGGCCACGTGACCGGAAGTGTCTCGCGACAGACGCTGGCCCCCGGCCCTCTTGAGTGAGATGGGCGCACAACCCTAGAGTCTGTCAAGACTGGCCGTTATGGGCAGGGTACCTTTACCTTTTACCTTTACACGTTTTTCTAGGCTGTCCTTCAGAGTGGTGTACAGTAAGCCCCCCCAAAACACAAGTCTAATCTATAAAACCACATATAAGCCACCAGACATAAACATCCAGCAAATCAGATAAAAGTGGCCTTGTATTTAAGCTTTAGCATGGTAGGAGATTGACTATCAGCTGACAGGGATTCCAATCAGATGACTTGCTGATCAGGTGACTGATGGGATGAGGTCAGAGGGGGCAATTTGTGCGCACACATCCACACACCCTGTCAGGGTTCTGAATTGGGATTGCAAAACCGCCTGGCAAGCTGTATTCTCTTCTCCGTGACTGTGGCTCGGGATCTGCTCCTTCTGGCAGGAGGTATGGCCACTGCTTGCTCTCCTTTTTATTTTTTTAAACACATTTGGCATATCTGAGGAATTGAGGGGATTCTATCATTCTTGCCAGCCAAAAGGTGATTTGTGTCAAACATTTTGAACCAGCCTCCCATAGAGTGTCTTCCCCTCACTGTGCTACCATACGAGTCCTGGTGCTGGAGCCTACGTACCATATTTTTCACTCTATATGACGCACCAGACCACAAGACGCACCTAGTTTTTGGAGGAGGAAAACAAGAAAAAATATATTCTGGCATCTCAGAAGCCAGAACAGCAAAGAGGGATCGCTGCACCAGTGAAAGCAGCGATCCTCTTGCAGAGGGACTGGACACATTCCAATTTGCTTATAAAACGAAAAGATCGACAGAGGACGCTGTGGCGATTGCCCTCCATGCCGTCCTTGCACATTTGGAGCAGCGGGGGGGTTATGCCAGACTGCTTTTTTTAGATTTCAGCTCGGCATTTAATACCATTCTACCACAGTGTCTGATGTCTAAACTGGAAGATCTGGGGCTTCCGTTATCACTTTGTAGGTGGATATTGGACTTTTTGTCAGACCCGCCCCCAGAGGGTTCGGTTGGGCCCTTATACCTCTAATATGCTTAAGACTAACACAGGAACACCACAGGGATGCGTACTCAGTCCGGTCCTTTATATTCTCTACACGTACGATTGTGTCGCTGCTCACCCTAGTAATAGGGTTGTCAAATTTGCAGATGACACAACCGTGATTGGGCTCATCTCTGAAAGGGAGGGTGAAACGGACTATAGAGATGAGGTGGAGCGGCTGACAGAGTGGTGCAGAGCTAACAACTTGCTCATAAATACAAGGAAGACAAAGGAGCTTGTGGTGGACTTCAGGAGACAGAAGAGCAATGTCCAGCCACTTTTGATTGATGGGGTCTGTGTGGAGAGGGTAACAACGTTCAGATTTTTGGGCATTGAATTACAAGAGGATCTGTCCTGGAGTGTCAACACAAGGGGGCTTGTGAAGAAGGCGCAGCAGAGACTGTACTTTTTGAGAATTCTAAGGAAAAACCATCTTCCGCAGAAACTGCTGCTTGCCTTCTATCACTGTGCCATTGAGAGCGTGCTCACTTATGGCTTATGTGTGTGGTACGGAAGCTGTACTACCCAGGACAGGATGGGGTTGTGCAGAGTTGTTAAGGCAGCAGAGAGCATTGTTGGCTGCCCACTCTCCACCTTAGAGCAGATTTATGCCACAAGGTGCCATAGGAAGGCACTGGACATAGTAAAAGATCCATCGCATCCTGGTCACTGTCTCTTCGAGCTCCTGCCGTCGGGACGGAGATACAGGACGATGAAGACAAGAACGAGCCGTCTTAAGAACAGCTTCTTCTCCAGAGCGATCTCGGCCCTGAATGGGAAGCCTGGACTTTGAAAGTCATCTAATCTTCCTTGCTGTACTATACAGTATTGTTTTAATTAGGGTTTTTATTGAGCAGTCAAGTAATTTCGTTGTCCCCGAGAGGGGGTAATGACAATAAAGATATTATTATTATTATTATTATTATTATTATTATTATTATTATTATTATTATTATTATTATTATTATTGGATAGCTGCGCAGCCTGCATTCACTCCATAAGACGCACACACACTTCCCCTTACTTTTTAGGAGGGGAAAAGTGAGTCTTATAGAGCAAAAAATACGGCAATAACCATTCTGATTCCTGCTCTTCCTTGTACATGAGGCTGTCTCCCTGGCAAAAAGCCCTTTTTTTCTTCACATAGGCATCAACAGGAGCGGTCTACCGAGTGCACTTTTCCCACAGGACATTGATGCTCTTTGGGATCCCATGTTCTACTCTAGCCCTGAGCTCTGGAATGAACTGGACGCTGCGACAAGCAAGGGAATGTCCTCCCCTTGCTGTTTGGCTCCACCTATTTGTCTGCAAATAGGGACACGGGTGGCGCTGTGAGTAAAAGCCTCAGCGCCTAGGGCTTGCCAATCGAAAGGTCGGCGGTTTGAATCCCCGCGGCGGGGTGCGCTCCTGTTGCTCGGTCCCAGCACCTGCCAACCTAGCAGTTTGAAAGCACTCCCGGGTGCAAGTAGATAAATAGGGACCGCTTACTGGCGGGAAGGTAAACGGCGTTTCCGTGTGCTGCGCTGGCTCGCCAGATGCAGCTTTGTCACGCTGGCCACGTGACCCGAAAATGTCTCTGGACAGCGCTGGCCCCCGGCCTCTTAAGTGAGATAACGAGAAGTAGGAAGAGCATAGCAGAGATATAGAGAGCAAAAAGCAAGAAAAGAAGAAGGTAGACAGAAGAAGATAAAGACGAGAAAGAAAGAAAAAAGAGAGAGAAAGAATAACCATAGCAGAGGATAGATTCAAGAAGAGAAGAGAAAAGATAGGAAAAGAGGAAGTTAAGAAAATAATCAAGATATCAAGTAAGACATTAGTTCACAGAATATAAGAGGAAAGGTCCATAAGATAAGAAAAACGCAAAGCTGAATGAAGACAAGAACACGGAGACCCTGAACAAAGTGTGCAGGAACCTTTTGACATTGTTCAACCCCCTTACCCAAAGACCATCCCAAAACCATCATACATACATGATAGGAGGCAATCTACAGCAGAAATCCTGCCTGCCAGGATACCTGATAATAGTCGCTGATTGCATTACCTGGGCAGCCTAGCCATTCTTTTTTTTTTTTTTTAAGCGTTTATTAATTTTCCAGTAAGAACATCCAATTAACATATCAAATCCAATAAAAATAAAAAACTAAAATTAAAAAAGTCCAATTGTCTTCCAAATTGTAATCTTAATTTTTTTGACTTCCCACGGTCTGAATTCCAAAGTGTTTTCTACATCATAGTCCTGCGTCTTATCATAGATGTTTTCATAATTCCATATCATGATTTTATCCTCCATGTTTGTCTCTGGCTCTGTGACCCTCAATCATGTCGGAAGGCGAATGCTTTTCCCCCATGGAGTGCAGATTTGCCAGTGTGTTGTAATCTTTCAACTGTTCTTGTTTTTCAATTGCTTCATCTAATTGCCTCCATTCCAGGCTTCTGTCCAGCTCTTTAAAGATTATTATTTTGGCAACTCCCAAATCGTTAGTCTTTCCCATCCAGCTGTTATCAGAGAAACAGAAGAAAACCTTCTTCAAAGCTTGTTGATTTATTCTTAAGCAAACTGCTTGTTATGTAGCCATATATCAGACATGATGATCAATTAGCCTTTGGAATCCGCCGAGTCCCCCCTTCAGGCCCTGGAGGGGAGCTGCCAGACATCCATTTAGCCTTTTCTCTCGCTCATAATGAAAAAGTTCTTTTCGCAAGCAGTTGCATATTTAATATTGTCTCCAATCTTTATAACCAGCCATTGGTTAGCTCCTGTTTCTCTTAATCAGGGAGGTATTTCAGATATTCCGTAACTGCGTAGTGGGTAGGTACCATTTTGTTCTTTGTTTTCGTCTTTAACAGGCATTTCAAATCTTAAAGCGGCTGCGAATAAGTCCCAATTATACATAAAAGTCCATCTGTGCTCACTTTTTAAAAAGCAATTTGGGTACTTAATGAGGCTTGGCATGCAAAACCAATTGTTAATGTTAGAAGAAGGAAAAAAACATACAAAGCCCCTCCGGATTCCAAACACCATGATGTGGATCTCTTTGAAGTTCGATCTTTTACACCAAAGACTATAGAACACGTAGGTTTTTTCCAGCTTCGTCAGTTCAGAGCGTGTCTGTTTGTTTTTCAAATCTTTATATTTTCCCAAACAGATGCGTCCGGCTATGGGGTGGCATCGCAGGAGTGTCAGTCGTCCCTTGCTCCGTGACCCAGTGCCCCTGCCGTCTGCCACATCGGCAATCTGGGGCAAACTGCAGGTCGTCGCGACAGCCCTCCCCTGCCCTGGGGCCTTGCCATGTTGCTCCAAAGAAACTTGAAGGCTGTATTTAAAAAGGTAAAGGCAAAGGACCCCTGGACGGTTAAGTCCAGTCAAAGGCGACTATGGGGTTGTGGCGCTCATCTCGCTTTCAGGCCGAGGGAGCCGGCGTTCGTCCACAGACAGCTTTCCAAGCCATGCGGCCAGCATGACTAAACCGCTTCTGGCTCAACAGGACACCGTGATGGAAACCAGAGTGCACAGAAATGCCATTTACCTTCCTGCTGCAGTGGTACCTATTTATCTACTTGCACTGGCATGCTTTCAAACTGCTAGGTTGGCAGGAGCTGGGACAGAGCAACAGGAGCTCACCCCATTGCCGGGATTCGAACTGCCAACCTTCCGATCGGCAAGCCCAAGAGGCTCATCGGTTTAGACCACAGCACCACAGTTCAGTCTTCTTCAGACCTTGGCAGCCTGTGGGGCAACACAAAAGCCTTGCACTATGTTGCTCCAATGAAAGTGGTTGGCGTCAGGTGTTCTGAATGTTCGTTCCTTAGCGTCTCCTGCTCTGAGCTGGAATCTGCATCACAAGGTGGACCAGGCTTCTAAAACCTGCACTGTGATTCGTTGCCTGGCGCAAAGCAGCCAATCGTGCACAAGGTGGGAGTCGCCAGGGGCCTGGCTTAACTGTATATAAACCAGACCCTTTCTCTTGTCTCCGCAGTCTGCTCCAGAGGCCTCCATAAAGCCTTGAAGCTCAATCACTGCCAGGGCTGTCTTTAGCATATGCGCCTCCGGGGTGCAGAGATCTGCCAGCGCCCCCAAATTTAGCATAGTTGAGTCTGACAAGCGCCGCCATGGATCATCATCTGGGGGGAAAAGCCAGCAGAGGCTGGCTTTGCTCAGCAACGCACCATCGAGGACTGCTAAGAGAAAACACTTGAAAACCAGCCGACTCCACGCATGCTAGGAGTGCAATGCGCTGGTTTGATTTTGTTAGCGTCTCCTCCCCCTGGAGATCTGAGCCTACACCGTTCCATTGCTGCGCTCGGAAGGCCCACTGATTATCCCTGAGGAAGAAGAGACCTGTGTGTTATGTACTGAAGTTCTCACCCTGGGCCAGCAGGGGGATACTTTTCACTCAGGCCCACATATGCAAATAAGGGATCAAAAGTGACATTCAGTGATTGGATAGCTACAGAAAATGGTTACTGTTGCATTCTAGTGGAGCTCTATATAAGCAGGCTGGCTGAACCCTTCAGTTCAGTTCTGTTCTGGCCTGTGAATAAACAAGAGCTTTTTGAAGAATCGCTGTGTCATCTGATATGTTCACCCACAACTTAACACTGTGGGTGAGGGGAGCCAAGCTGGGCCCCTTTACGGCTGGAGGCGCCACCATGAAGCTGGAGATCTCCGCCTCTCGTTACGAGGACAAGCTCAGTAGTGATCAGGAAGGCAGCAGTGTGTCATCGCTGCTGCCTGGCGACAGTGAGCTGGGCTTCAACAGCGATTGCGCCGCCCTCAGTCTGGCCAGTGGGCATTGGGGCCTCTCCGCAGCAAGGCTCGGAGCATTCACCCAACAACACAAAAACAGCACTGGGGAAGCCTTGCATGCGTCGCCCGAAGCCTCCCTACTTGTACATCGTGCTGATCACCATGGCAATCCGGGACTCCGCCGGGGGGGCACCTGACTGGCTGAAATCAACAACTACCTGATGGGCTGCTTCCCCTTCTTCTGCGGTGCCTACACAGGCTGGCGCAACTCCAACTCCGTTGCTCAGTCCCTGCTCCTGCCAACCTAGCAGTTCGAAAGCACGTCAAAGTGCAAGTAGATAAATAGGCACCACTCCGGCGGGAAGGTAAACAGCGTTTCCGTGCACTGCTCTGGTTCACCAGAAGCGGCTTAGTCATGCTGGCCACATGACCCGGAAGCTGTACGCCGGCTCCCTCGGCCAATAAAGTAAGATGAGCGCCGCAACCCCAGAGTCGGTCATGACTGGACCTAATGGTCAGGGGTCCCTTTACCTTTACCTGGCTTTTGCTCCGACATGGATGTGAGAGGCAGGGAGACGCTGGGTGCAAAAGCACTTCACCTCTCTGTAACCCTCCAATGCTGCCATTAAGAGCAGCGGTTCTTCTGCTCGTTAAGAGATTAATTAGGATTAGTGCACAGACACATGCTGTTAATGATGGGACAAGATTAAGGACCGCCAAATCAAAACAGCTACAAGGTCGTACAGATTTAAATTGGAAAGATGACTTCATTCGAGCAACAAGATGGTATGTGTTGGGGGGGGGGGAGCCAATCACTTCATTATAAATCCTTACTTACATAAATGACTCGGCAAACCCCTCAAGAATGCCAAAAACTTTGTTCTTTAAAGCAAGTGAAGAAGAAAGGAGATGGGAGTACAGATATGGATTATAATGAGAAGCTGGACTGTGTGAGGAAAATATTGTTTGGAATAATTATAAAAAATGACTTGGAGCCTCTGCGGAGTTAATTTCTCACTTGATTGAGGGGAGGAGGGACTGAACTTTGAAGACATGCCATAGCTCTGGCAGGACACTAGATCATTCTTCTATAGATAATTATAATTGTTTTGATGGGACGTGGAGGGGAGAATTTGGAGGCCTGCCAGGGCTTTGGCAGGTCGTTGGGATACTCCCTGCCTGAAATCAAAAGTGGAATTTTACAGCTGCAATCAGAAGAGTTGAGAACAAAGACAGAGATTTCTCCAGAGTAACTTCGAGTCAACAAAGCTGTAAGGCACAAAAGGATCAGGAATAATTAATAGGAACATAATATTTGATAAAGAATTAGAGGAACAATTGGTGGAAATTAAAACCTCACACAGGAAGAAGAAAGGAGAACTTCACTTGCGAATTTACAAATGATTATATGTGTTAATGCGAATTGAAGTTAATAATTGTACCTGTGATATAAGGTATGTGGGGCTGTTGAAGAGGATGCACCTATGGTGAAGGATATTGTGTCTCTGGGAAATTCCATAGGCTTGGAAGTGAGTGGTGATGATGATAAGGAGTTAGTGGAGGAGCACAAGACTGAGCTCATCACAGAAGAACTTCAAAACTTTCTGATAGAGCAGCAACAGGTGGCAACTGGGGAAATGTTTTCAAAGGAGGAGAGGAGCAGAGAGAGTGTATCTACTGTAGTGATCAAAGAAATGTTTGCAAAATGGGCCGAAGTGCAAACTTTTGTCGAAAAATATCACCCCGATAAAGCTGCTGTAAGTCATGCCACTAACACTTTCAATGATAACGCTATGTCTCACTTCAGACAAATTTTAAAACATTGGCAAAAGCAAGTCTCAATTGAAAAAGCTTTGGTGAGGAAAAGATCCAGCGAGTCTGAACCAGGTGTCAGTGGTGTAAAAAAAAAAAGCAAGAGAAGGAATGGCAGGAGAGGAGTCACCGATTGAGATTTTGGAAGAGGACCCTGACCCCCCATCCAAACAATGACTATCATCAGTGCAGGTAAGAAAAAGGCACATTTTCAATTTTTTTAATCAACAAAAATACTGTTTTATTGATTTTACAGTACACTACATTGTTCATTGCTTTCATTTTATGGCTCAATGGTCTCGTTAGATGCTAAAATTCGTGTTAAATTTCTGTTTTAAGGGTTGTTTTTAATAGTCTGGAACAGATTCATCCATTTTACATTACTTTCTATGGGAAAGTGCACCTTGGTTTTGGAAAGCTTTGGTTTTGGAACGGGCTTCTGGAACAGATTAAGTTTGAGAACCAAGGTACCACTGTAATTTTCTTGGCTTCCCTATTTTGGGTTACTTGGACTGACCCCGGACTGTGTTTCCTGATCTTTGGACTTGGGACTCCGTTGTGTGGATTGGCTTCTGGACTTGGGAGATTTGTCTTGGCACACTATCTACCAGGTAGGCCAGCGGAGCAGGGCAGAAGTGTGTGGCATCCTAGTTCAGGGCAAAGAAATGCAGGAAAGTGACTTGCACCTCTCTCTTCCAGCAACATCTGCCCAGCCTGTTGCATCCTTGGGATGGAGGAATACAAGGCAGATGTGCGCCATCACTTCCCACAGCTGCTGATAGCTCTCCTGGAGATGATTTCCAACTTCCTCTACGACCAGGAATTCCTCAAGTGAGTAGTGTGTCGCAAAGGGGCCAATGGAATCCTTTCTCCTTCAGCCTCTAGGGGTTTCCATTCCAGCCTCGTTTTCCAAAGGAGACTGTCCGTCAGGTGGCTACTAGGGAGCAAGGATGGGGACGGAATCTGATCCTGTTTGCATGTCAAGGCAGATCTGCATACTTCACCATTTCTGGAAAAGTTACCGTATTTTTTGCTCTATAAGACGCACCTTTTCCCTCCTAAAAAGTAAGGGGAAATGTGTGTGCGTCTTATGGAGCGGCTAAGCCCAAAGCTAGAACAGCGAGACGGAGCGCTGCGCAGCGCTCCCTCTACCTATTCTGGCTTTTGGATAGCCCCCACGAAGCCTCCGTAGGACAGCGGGATGAAGGCTCCTCGCTGCCCTGCGGAGGCTTCTTGTGGGAAGTGGGGGGCTCTGTCCCTTCCCCCACCTCCCAGAAAAACCCCCAAGAATCGCGCTCCCTTTAAAGAGCGCACGGTTCTTGCAGGAGATGGGGGAAGGTACAGTGGGCAGCTTACCTGCGCGCAGCCTCTTCCAGGCAGGGGGAGCCTTCATCCCGCTGCCCGGGTGTGATGGCCTGGGAATCCGATTCAGAGGATGAACCGGAGGAATCCCAGCCTGCACAGGAGTCCCCGCCTCCAGGGCCGGCTGAACTGGGGCAGGGCCTTGATTCTGAGGCGCCTGCACCTGTGCCGGATCCTCAGGAGCAGGCACCAGGTGAATCCAGTCTGGCTCCAGAGGTAGTTGAGGACTCAGTGCCTGCAGGTGAGTCTCCCCCTGGGCCCAGTAACCCTTCAGCCTCTTCTGAACTGCAGAGGCTTAGGGCAGAGAGGCAAAGGGAACTGGTTTCTCCCAGGAGGAGTGCTTGCCTTAAGGCCAGGAGAGGCGGGTCTCCTGGGGGCCGGGACCGCCCCTGGCCTCAGAGAAGATAAAGGCCAGTCAGCCCGGTCCCAGGTTGCGGGAGCAACGTCGTCGCTGAGTACCTGCTCCTGTCCGGACCCAGACCTGACCCTCCAGTGTTCCTGTCCCCGCTCAGCTTCCTGCTTCGGACCTCGCCCCGCTCCTTGCGAACTGTTTTCAGGCCAGTGACCCAGGACCGGACTTCGACTACGTCAACGGTAACCTTCCCCCCGGGAACAGCACACCGGGAGAGGCTTCAGTGGCTATCCTAGAAGCCAGATCTCTCTTGCTGTTCTGGCTTCTGGGATTCAGATTTATTTATTTTTTGTTTCCTCCCCCCCAAACTGTGGGAATGTTCTGGGGTGCAGGAAAGGATATATTGACTAATTATATCCTGATCCAACTTGTGCTAACAAGTTCCCAAAATATCAGCAGAGTTTACATACATTCCCCTTTAGTACGCAACGGTAACGTGTGCACAGGTTCGCTAGAACCTCTATAATAATTACCCTGGTAATTTCCCCTTTAGTTCCCTCTTAAAATACAAGACACGACACAGTCTTCATAAAAGTATAAAAGAGTTTACTCACGTCCTGTTCACAATGTGATCCCAGACGGCAGACAGGCTTAAAAAGGTTACATAGATTTAGAATCTATCTCATAGCAAGATAGGCCTTATCTCCTCTCTTGGCTGGGAGCCAAGAGGGCATCCTTAGGTGTTTCCTCGTCGAAGGAAAATGGCAGAGAGAGAGAGATGGCTGCCTGCCCTGTGCTTTTTGTCATCACCTGCACAGGTGAGGCCACACCCACCTCTGGTCACATGCGGAGGAAGTCCGTCCCCAGGAAGTTTACCTGCTTGCTGGACAGACATCCCCCCCATGTTCTAAACATGTACACTCTAGGAATGTTGTCATTGACTGCTCCTGTGTTTACATCCCACATACCCCTTCTCAGGCAATACAACATATACAAAATATAAACAACTTTATTCAACCACCCAGAGTCCCAGCTTGACACGTAGATTCTGGAAACTCTCTCTTGGTAGGGGTTTCGTCAGGATGTCAGCAGTCATTTCTTGGGTGCTGCAGTAGGATAGTTCCACAAGTCCATCCTGGATCATCTGGCGTATGTAGTGGTATTTAACCCCAATGTGTTTTGTTCTGGCCAGGAACTTCTCACTCTGCGTCAGCTTCAGGCAACTCTGATTGTCCTCTAGCAAGCTGACAGGCCCTTTTCTCACCAACCCAAAGTCCTTTATGAGTTGATCAAGCCAGGCGATCTCTCTGCAGGCTTCTGTTGCTGCAACGTATTCTGATTCTGTGGAAGATAATGCTACACAGCTCTGTTTATAACTGCCCCACGCGACAGGTCCATCACCAAACATAAAAACATGACCACTCGTTGATTTATAGTCAGCATTATCCCCAGCCCAATCAGCATCTGTATACCCAACCAACTTAGGGTCTTTGACAGCTGGTAACCTTAATTTACAATTCATGGTACCCTTCAAATATCGCACCACCCTCTTTACACCTGCCCAATCATGCTCAGTGGGAGAATTCACTTTTCTGCTAAGAATCCCCACAGCATTAGCTAAGTCAGGTCTACATGTGGTAACTAAATACAAAAGTTTACCAATCGCCGACCTGTAGTCATTGTTGTCTGGCAACTGCTTCGAATCCTGCTGATTCTTCAGGAAGTCAGTAGCCATCGGTGTAGCAACTGGATGTGCGTCTTGCATCTGCATGTGCTCAACTAGCTCGTGGATCTTCTGTCTTTGGCTGAGAAGAAATGATCCGTCCTCTTCTCTTTCCACCTGAATCCCGAGGTAATACTGGACATCTCCTAGCTCCTTGACCTCCACCTCCTTGCTAAGGTGTTTTACTATCTGTGTATAGTCTTTCTCACTTGCTGTGGCAATAATCAGGTCATCAACAAATGCTAGGATATATGAGAATTGTCCATTATTTGACTTACTGTACAAGCACTTGTCAGCGTCGCCTTGCTTGTACCCAAGTTGCGTCAGCATTTTATGCAACTTCTGGTTCCAGGCTCTAGCAGCCTGTTTAAGTCCATAAAGTCCTTTCTGCAGCTTGCACACTAAATGTGCTTCATGTGGTTTTACAAAACCTTTGGGCTGTTTCATGTAAATTTCTTCAGAAATCTGCCCATGTAGAAAAGCGGTAGCAATGTCTATGTGTTTTACTCTCATTTTCTTGGAGGCTGCAATGCTTAAAAGCATTCTTACGCTGCTGTACCTCACAGTTGGTGCAAAAACTTCATCATAGTCTTCACCAAAACGCTGTGAAAATCCCTGTGCCACAAGTCTAGCTTTGTAGCGCTGCACTTCTCCTTCTGACCCCTTCTTAACCTTGAAAACCCATTTACTGCCAATGGCCTTCTTACCGGGAGGCAGCTCAGTGAGTGTCCAGGTCTTGTTCTGATGCAGTGCATCCATCTCCTCCTGCGCGGCCTTCCTCCAGAGACTGGCTTCTGCAGCTGGCATCTCCTGTATCTCTTCCCAAGTGGAAGGTTCCTGTGGAAACGCCGACCCTGCAAGGTAGGACAACCGTACTGGTGGGACACCTCTGTTGGTTCTGGATGAGCGTCTGACCTCTGGTTCTGCGACCGCATCAGCTTCCTCATCCTCCTCCAACGCAGGCATGTCCCCATCTGAGTCCTCATCTTCGTCTCTGGTGCCGCCAGGGTTCTGGTCCTCTGCGTCTTCTGGTGCATCGCCTGTAGGGGGCGCTGTAACACTCGAAGGCAGATAATTACTTTGTGGGGTCTCAAAAGGGAAATATACAAACTCTTGAGTCCTTTCTGACTCATCTGAAGAATCCACAACAGTGTTCTTAGTGTCTACTTTTCCATATTCATCAAAATAAACCGCATGGTATGCATTTGTCTTACCAGTTTGTAAGTCCATAATTCTGTATCCTTTGCCTCCAGAAGCATATCCCACAAGGATACCTGCTTTTGCCCTGGAGTCAAGCTTGTGTCTGTGTTCCTTGGGCACGTGGAAGTAACACGGACTTCCAAACACACGTATGTGCGACAGATTGGGAGCTTTCCCATGCCAAAGTTCAAATGGTGTGCGCTCTGCACCTTTAGTTGGCAGTCTATTCTGCAAATAGACCGATGTGTACACTCCTTCCGCCCACAGCTTGTGTGGCAAACGTGCATCCTTTAGCATGCACCTTGTCATGTCCATAATGGACCTAAACTTTCTCTCAGCTATGGCATTCTGCTGTGGTGTGTAAGGAATTGTGGTTACGTGTGCAATTCCTTCTCTGGCCAGGAGAGTCTGCACTTCATTTGAGCAGTACTCACCTCCATTGTCACTCATTAACACAGCTGGAGCTCTCTGGAATTTGTTCTTGACCATGGCAATGTATTCCTGGAGCTTGTCCACTGTCTCACTCTTCTCTTTGAGGAAATATACAACACAAAATCTTGAAAAGTCATCCAGAAATATTAAAATATATCTATTCTTTCCCAGTGAGGGAACATTCATGGGTCCACATATGTCAGTGTGCACTATGTCAAGCACTTTGTTGCTTCTTTGTTCTGCACAACGTGGAAATGAAGGTTTTACAGCCTTCTCAGTAATACAGCTTATGCACTTTGCTGGAGCTTTGTTGCTCTGCTTTACCTGCAAACCTCTTACAAGATTTCTTTTCTGTAGATCCAGAATGAGGCTGGCGTCTCTGTGTCCTAGCCTTCGGTGCCATAAGTCCAGATCTGCTTCATCCTTCTGGCTGGAATGTGCCACTTTTGCAGACTGGTTCTCTGAAAGATCAAGCTCATATACACCATTTATTAGCTTTGCTTGAGCAAACACTTTGCCATTTCTAGTCACTTTACATTCTCCATTTCCAAATGTGACCTGGAAACCTTTCTTGTCCAAAGTGGACACGCTGATTAAGTTGCAACTCAGCTCTGGAACATACAAAACTCTAGAGATTGTGTTCTCAATGCATTCATTGTTTATACTGCATTTCAGGCTCATGGAACCTGCACCTTTTGCTTTAACAATGTTGCCATCTGCAATCTCAATTTCAGATCCTTCTTCATCATTTATTTCATTAATCTCATTAAAATAGTCCTTTTTATATGAAAAATGCGAACTGGCACCTGAATCTAAAATCCATTTGTTACGTTTATTTTCACGATTCTGGACAGCTAAGTTCCTTTCTTGCAGTAACCATGTGCATTCACATTTCCCCTTCTTTTCCCCTTTTGGCTGAAAGGGGTGGGGTTTCTTTGCTTTAGGAGCCCTGCAATTCTTTGCAATGTGTCCTTCTTTGTTACAATTGAAGCAAATCACTTTCTTAGGCATCTCTTTGGACTTTGTACATTGCCTAGATGCATAACTGCTGTCCTTGCTTCTAGCATTTCTCACTGGAGATTCACCTCTATCTCTGCATTCTTCTTTTAAATAACCAATCAAGTCTTTAAATGTCAGACCTTGTCTATGCTCCATCAAACTTACAAATGCACCAAAGCGTGGTCCAAGTGATGATAACAAAAATGCTATCTTTGTATCCTCATCAAAAGCTTTGGGAGTCAGATCAATTCTTTGAATAATCTCAGTAAACTTGTTGATGTGCTCTGTGAATTCCTCTTTTGAATTCATCCTCAATCTGGTTAATTTACACACCAAGTTTCTGAAGCTGTTTATGCTAGATTCTCCATACACGCGCTCAATATCTCTTAAGATTTGAGATGCATCATCTGTGCTATTTATTAATGATAGCTGCTCATCACGAAGTCCACTCAAAATTATGTGTCTAGCTTCGCTGTTCATGCGTTTCCAAGCACTTATCTTGGCTAAATCTCCCTCAGACGATCCTGTAGGCTGAGGCTCTAAAGCTTCCAAAATGTGCTTATAATCCAAACATGCTATCAAGCGCTGCTTCCAGTGCATGAAATTGTACTCATTCAGCACAGGCATTCCTAGCTTTGCATCACTATCAAAAGCTGCTCTAGCCATCTTAAAATCCAAAATTTGAAAATTCTTCAAAATTTCAAAATTTCTCAAAATTTTAAAATCAAAATCTCAAAAATCTCAAAATACAAAACAATTCTTCACTGCCTTGGGTCACTGTGAACTCTGAGGGAAGGGGGTGGGTTGCTTAATCCCCACTGCACAATGGAACAAAGGACCATGTGCTTACCAGGAAGTTAACTCAGAAAAATACTACTCAACTCAAAATCACAATCCAATGCAATCCTTCAAAAATACGCAGAAATATGCAATACTGGGGCCACTAACCCTTTGTGGGAATGTTCTGGGGTGCAGGAAAGGATATATTGACTAATTATATCCTGATCCAACTTGTGCTAACAAGTTCCCAAAATATCAGCAGAGTTTACATACATTCCCCTTTAGTACGCAACGGTAACGTGTGCACAGGTTCGCTAGAACCTCTATAATAATTACCCTGGTAATTTCCCCTTTAGTTCCCTCTTAAAATACAAGACACGACACAGTCTTCATAAAAGTATAAAAGAGTTTACTCACGTCCTGTTCACAATGTGATCCCAGACGGCAGACAGGCTTAAAAAGGTTACATAGATTTAGAATCTATCTCATAGCAAGATAGGCCTTATCTCCTCTCTTGGCTGGGAGCCAAGAGGGCATCCTTAGGTGTTTCCTCGTCGAAGGAAAATGGCAGAGAGAGAGAGATGGCTGCCTGCCCTGTGCTTTTTGTCATCACCTGCACAGGTGAGGCCACACCCACCTCTGGTCACATGCGGAGGAAGTCCGTCCCCAGGAAGTTTACCTGCTTGCTGGACAGACATCCCCCCCATGTTCTAAACATGTACACTCTAGGAATGTTGTCATTGACTGCTCCTGTGTTTACATCCCACACAAACTAGGTGCGTCTTACCGTCTGATGTGTCCTATAGAGCGAAAAATACGGTAACCTCTGGGGTAGCCTCGTAAATGTGGTTTTCCAGTTTGGTTCTTGGTTTTCTGGCTTACAAAAATCAAATAGCAAACAGTACAGAAAACAAGGATCTTTTGATGCTACCCTGCTCAGAGCAGCTGTTGGGCCCCCCCAAAAAAAGATCCCTGATCCCCAAAACCTGTGGCAATGACCTTCTGGGTAATTCTGGCCTTGCTTTGGTTACAGAGGGGCTAAGGAACTTCTGCATCTCATTCTCGGCACCACTGGAGAGCAACCAGAAATGGCCATCGTAGACCAGCTTTTCAGACCGGAGACCTTCAGCCAGAGGTTGTCTGCCATGGTGAAGTAAGAGGAAGAACACCGTGAGCTCCCAATGGTATGACAAACGGAGCTCAAGGCATGGGATAGGACTGTGCCCCTGTTTGCTTTCTGTCTTCCCCTTCCTTAGCAAGATTTGGTTCTCCATTTCGGGGCTCTCGGAAAGCGAGATGAGCACCGCAACCCCAGAGTCGGTCACGACTGGACCTAATGGTCAGGGGTCCCTTTACCTTTTTACCCAGAGTTGTTGAGCTTTCTTTAGGGGGAACTGTTGTCGAAAACCACTCGCCCACAGGACCAATGAGCGTGTATAACAAGCCAAAAATAACACGGCCAATAGCCACTGACAATCTCCAGCTAGCGGCAGCAACCAATCCACGTCCCCCACCCCGCACTGCCCATGTATAAGACAACCCCAAGTTTGGAACTATATTTTACAGTAAAGAAAACCTTGTCTAATACATGGGAAAGTACGGTATTTATGGGGCAACAAGAGGGTCTAATGCTAATGATATTTAGTACCCTCCTAACAAAGGGGCACGATCGGACTTGCCGATCGGAAGGTTGGCAGTTCGAATCCCCGCGACGGGGTGGCTCCCGTTGTTCGGTCCCAGCATTTCTGTGCACTGCTCTGGTTCGCCAGAAGTGGCTTAGTCATGCTGGCCACATGGCCCAGAAGCTGTACGCCGGCTCCCTTGACCAGTAAAGCGAGATGAGCGCCGGAACCCCAGAGTCATTTGTGACCGGACCTAATGGTCAGGGGTCCCTTTACCTTTACCCTCCTAACAAAATCTCCTGTCTTTCCTGCATGAAACGACGAAACTACAATGAAAAATGGCAGCCTATCAGCTGGAATCTGAGAGGCAGCCTCCGAAAACAGGAAGACGCAAGGAGAATGTCATCTGCTGGGAAAGGAGCCTCACTGAAGACGACACCCGCGATATCAACCCACAACATTCCAGTGACTTTGGGGACTGGAAACTTTTTAACTGACTAAAACAGCAAGATGAAAATGTGAGCAGGACTTGAAATAAGAGCAACACTGTTAAATTATTAAGATAAGTTAAAATGGATGTGTTGAATAGCGTAGGAGAAATATGCAGCATTCAAGGGTAAACAATACTTTATAAATTTAAGAATATTTGGGAGTATATTATATTGCATTTTTGTATATTATTTTCTTTTCTTTTTATATGCATCTTTGTTCTCCCCCCTCACTTCCCCTCTTCCGCCCCTCTGCATCACTTTATTACTTTATAATTGCAATTATTTTGATAAAAATATATATTTTTAAAGAGGGTAAATATGGAAAACCATAGGAGGGGAGGCCAGGAAGTCAACAGATAAAGTAACTTATGGTTTATGTTACAATTTGTAATTTTTTTGTGAAAAATAAATAAGGTGTTTTTTTAAAAAAATAGACCCAAAGTTTTGTCTTGGCCATCCCAGGGAAACTAATGGGGAAGCATGGTTGGTTGGAGGGTTAATGCAGTGAAAGCTGCTATCGTAGTATCTAGCCTAATAGAGTGGTACCTCGGGTTAAGTACTTAATTCGTTCCAGAGGCCCGTACTTAACCTAAAACTGTTCTTAACCTGAAGCACCACTTTAGCTAATGGGGCCTCCTGCAGCTGCGCAAGTTCTGTTCTCATCCTGAAGCAAAGTTCTTAACCTGAAGCACTATTTCTGGGTTAGCGGAGTCTGTAACCTGAAGCATATGTAACCTGAAGCGTATGTAACCCGAGGTACCACTGTATACTGAAGACACCACAGTCTTCATTCCAAAGAAACTGAACCTGGGGTAAACACAGGCACCCCTAGAGATTGGGATGTTCACAAGAGTCCTTTTTCACCATACTGGCCCACTTCCTCATGTGAAGAACAGAAGATGCTCCATCAGTTTCTCCCCAGAATGGATCTTGCCTGCAACCTCTTATTGTGGGGTCTCAGGAAAAGCCGCAGAGGCCTGTTCTTCCCCTGTTTTTTGGTTAGCCTTGATGCCATTTTGCTTCTGTACAAAAAACTGCCTGCTTTAGAATTTGTGAGCCACAAATATGTGAAGGCCAGATAACGTTGCTAGGCGATTTTCAAGAAAACCTCCCTCTGCCAGGCAACTCTCCCCTTCAAGATCTCCGGGCAGGGTGTCCTGTTTTGATCAGAGCAAGAAACCTGGAAAGGAGGAAAGGGAGGGGGGGGGGATGCGTATAAAAAGTATGAAAAAAGCCCGCTCTGTTTTACTCAGTTGAATAAACAAGTGATTATGGGAATCTCCTCTGTCTATGGCATTTACAGTGGTACCCCGCAAGACGAATGCCTCGCAAGACGGAAAACCCGCAAGATGAAAGGGTTTTCTGTTTCGGAGGCGCTTCGCAAGACGAATTTCCCTATGGGCTTGCTTCGCAAGACGAAAGCCCATAGGGAAATCTCCGGGGACCTGTTTTAAATTGCTGGCGGTTGGGAGCAAAGACTTTCGCCCACAGCCGGCCTTCAGAAGAGGTCCTGGACCTCTTCTGAAGGCCGGCGGGGGGCAAAAGTCTTTGCTCCCCCCCGCCTGCCTTCCCGGGACAGCGGAGACTTCTCCGCTGCCCCGGGCGATCTTAAAATGCTGGCGGGCGGGAGCGAAGCGTTCGCTGCCGACCCCCAGCATTTTAAAATCTCCCCGGGACAGCAGAGAAGTCCCGCCCCGCTCCAGATGGCCGCGCAAAGCTGCCTGCAGTCGCGGGACTGCAGGCAGATCTGCGCCACCATCCCGAGCGGGGTGCTAAGTCCCGCCCCGCTCGGGATGGCGGCGCAGAGCTGTCTGCCGTCCCGGGATCAGCGCAGCTCTACGCGGCCATCGGGAGCCGGGGGCGAAGCCCGCCCCGCTCCAGATGGCCGCGCAAAGCTGCCTGCAGTCGCGGGATTGCAGGCAGATCTGCGCCACCATCCCGAGCGGGGTGCTAAGTCCCGCCCCGCTCGGGATGGCGGCGCAGAGCTGTCTGCCGTCCCGGGATCAGCGCAGCTCTGCGCGGCCATCGGGAGCCGGGGGCGAAGCCCGCCCCGCTCCAGATGGCCGCGCAAAGCTGCCTGCAGTCGCGGGATTGCAGGCAGATCTGCGCCACCATCCCGAGCGGGGTGCTAAGTCCCGCCCCGCTCGGGATGGCGGCGCAGAGCTGTCTGCCGTCCCGGGACTGCAGGCAGATCTGTGCCGCCATCCCGAGCGGGGCGCTAAGTCCCGCCCCGCTCTGGATGCCAGCGCAGAGCTGTCTGCCGTCCCGGGACTGCAGGCAGATCTGTGCCGCCATCCCGAGCGGGGCGCTAAGTCCCGCCCCGCTCTGGATGCCAGCGCAGAGCTGTCTGCCGTCCCGGGACTGCAGGCAGATCTGTGCCGCCATCCCGAGCGGGGCGCTAAGTCCCGCCCCGCTCTGGATGCCAGCGCAGAGCTGTCTGCCGTCCCGGGATCAGCGAAGCGTTCGCTGCCGACCCCCAGCATTTTAAAATCTCCCCGTGTCCCGGTGAGATTTTAAAATGCTGGGGGTCGGCAGCGAAGCCCTTGTTCCCCCCCAGCCCCCCCCAGCCTTCAAAAGCCCTTGTCCCCCCCCAGCCTTCAGAAGAGGTCGGGGGAGAGACTGTCCCCGGACCTGGTCTGAAGGCGGTTTCCCTTGGAACGCATTAATTGATTTTCAATGCATTCCTATGGGAAACCGTGCATCGCAAGACGAAAAACTCGCAAGAAGAAAAAACTTGCGGAACGAATTAATTTCGTCTTGCGAGGCACCACTGTATTGGCTTTTCAGTGACCAAGGCAGCTAGGGCCCGATTAGCGGACCCCAACACTATGGGCAAGACAAGATCCCAGGTGTTGGGACTCATGAACCAATGTAAATTATAAGAGAGTGGTCTCTGCCAAAGCATCCCATTCTCTTCACACTGGGAAGGTGGATAGAAAAGGTTGGATCACCCTGTCAGTTTGCATTTCTTAGTGCAGAAAGTATTGATCTGATGTGTAGAGATCTTTCCTATTCTAATTAATTCAAGAGGGTTCTGAGAGCTTCTCTGTGTTAAGGGAAAAAATTCTGGGGTGAGGCACTACTCAACAGCCCAGCTCGTCGGGGTGGAAATCCCCTGCAGGTCTATGCGGTCAGTAAAAGAAGAAGTTCCAGCCAAGTACCGTATTTTTCGCTCCATAAGACGCACTTTCTTCCTCCTAAAAAGTAAGGGGAAATGTCTGTGCATCTTATGGAGTGAATGCACTGGGCGGCAGAGGGATCCCTCGGCTACCGCTGCAGTTGCAAGCTGAGGGATGCCTCCGGAGCCATGGCTCCTGTCCGTCGCTCGCTGTGAAGCCAGCAGAGCAAGAGCCGCTGCGCAACTATCACTCTGCTCTGCTGGCTTCAGCGAGAGCGAGAGCTGCGTGCACAGCTTACTCTGCTGGCTTCACAGTGAAGCGGGAGGAGGGATGGACTGGAGCAAGCAAAGTGAGAGCCGCTTACACGGCTTCTGTCCCGCTTTGCGCAGCTCTCAATTTGCTTGCCCATCCCTCCTCCTGCCTCGCTGTAAAGCAAGCAAAGCACCCGTCCCAGTGTCTCCTCCTCCTCTTCTTGCTCCGGTGTTGCCGCGCTTTACAGCGAGGTGGGAGGAGGCATGGGCAAGCAAAGTGAGAGCTGCGCAAAGCGGGAGAGAAGCAATATAAGCGGCTCTCACTTTGCTTCCTTTAAAGCAAGAAAAGTGAGAGCCGCTTACATGCTCTGCACAGAATATTTTTTTTTCTTGCTTTTCCCCTCTAAAAACTAGGTATGTCTTATGGTCAGATGCGTCTTAAGGAGCAAAAAATACGGGTAATTTGGAGCAAACAGCGGTCAGTAGACCATGATCTTTATTGTTGTGCATCAGGTCCCCACAGGAGTAAGAACTCCGAGCTGCGGATGACATCCTCTTTTAAAACTTCCCTCTTTCCCCCAGAATACGCTTCGAGCAGCATCATTGATACATCATCACTACATCACTAAAGGTAAAGGTAAAGGTAAAGGTAAAGGTACCCCTGCCCGTACGGGCCAGTCTTGACAGACTCTAGGGTTGTGCGCCCATCTCACTCAAGAGGCCGGGAGCCAGCGCTGTCCGCAGACACTTCCAGGTCACGTGGCCAGCGTGACAAAGCTGCATCTGGTAAGCCAGCGCAGCACACGGAAACGCCGTTTACCTTCCCGCCAGTAAGCGGTCCCTATTTATCTACTTGCACCCGGGAGTGCTTTCGAACTGCTAGGTTGGCAGGCGCTGGGACCAACGCAACGGGAGCGCACCCTGCCGTGGGGATTCGAACCGCCGACCTTTCGATCGGCAAGCCCTAGGCACTGAGGCTTTTACCCACAGCGCCACCCGCGTCCCTACATCACTACATCACTAGCATGTCACAAACGGGGAAGGGTATACAAAGAGTTAAGGAGGGACGCGGGTGGCGCTGTGGGTTAAAACCACAGAGCCTAGGGCTTGCTGATCAGAAGGTCGGCGGTTCAAATCCCCACAATGGGGTGAGCTCCCATTGCTCAGTCCCTGCTCCTGCCAACCTAGCAGTTCGAAAGCACATCAAAGTGCAAGTAGATAAATAGGTACCGCTCCGGCGGGAAGGTAAACGGCGTTTCCGTGCGCTGCTGTGGTTCGCCAGAAGCGGCTTAGTCATGCTGGCCACATGACCTGGAAGCTGTACGCCGGCTCCCTCGGCCAGTAAAGAAAGATGAGCACCACAACCCCAGAGTCGTCTGCGACAGGGGTCTCTTTACCTTTATACAAGGATTACACAAGTTCAGCATTAGGTCACTTTATCAGACACCTTTCCCAACACCTCTTAAGTACCCATCTCCGAAAGAACTATAAAACTCTTTACATATCCTTGCCCTCAGGACTTGTCTGGAGATGGCTTTCAGAACACCTGACTTGCTAAACTGCCTCTGCGGATGTCTATTCTTGCCCCTTGGTCACTCCCTGGGTGGGGTGCTCTGTATGTGCTCTCACACTTGGGGAATTATGGTGGGATGCCCTGTTCCTGCTGCCTACGTGGCATCCTGCTTCTTGGTTCATGGAGGGAGGAGGTGGAGCCCAAATTCACCTTTCTTTAAGGGTTAAAATGGCATTGGAATGAGGAGAGTCGGTTGGTGGATGGATGGATGAAGTATGGATTTTCTACAAATTTATAAAGCTAGGTATCTCCCTGAGCTGTCAAGTCGAAAGGATTATTCCTTCAGAGAAGCTGAGTACAACTGGCTTAAAAGGGTTCTCTTATCTCTTCTTCAAGGTTGTGCTGACTATACTGTAATAAGAGGCCAGAAGGAGCCTGGGTTTTCTCTTTCTATGTCTTTCTCTTTCTTTCTTTTCCTTCTGGTGTAGCGTTCTGTACATTGTATGCTTAGTGTTAAGGTTTAAACTTATTAAAAGTTATTGTAAGTTTAAGTTAAGTCTGCTGCAACTGGATTTCTTATGGGCAGGGCTGACTGTATTGGATTTGTGACCATTATGCTCATATGCCTTCAGTAGCAGTAAAGCTCTGCTGGATGAAATATTAATTGCCTCTGGTCTATTTTTGGGAATTCTGCAACGTGTTTTCTCTGCTAACTATACATTGGGATTCTACTCTGGATCACTATTGAGTAGAATTCCATGACACACCCTGCCCCACAAAAAGATATGGCAGAGCTAGGAAGATCATGCACAATAACTCCAGTAAGATGTGCACCAGCAAGCTACAGTGGTACCTCGCAAGACGAAAAACTCGCAAGACGAAAGGGTTTTTTGGTTTTTTGAGTTGCTTCGCAAGATGAATTTCCCTATGGGCTTGCTTCGCAAGACGAAAACGTCTTGCAAGTTTGTTTCCTTTTCTTAAAACCGTTAATACAGTTGCGACTTGACTTCGAGGAGCAACTCATAGCACGCCTTGTGGTAGCCTTTTTTGAGGTTTTTGAAGACTTTGGTGATTTTTGAAGCTTTTCCAAAACTTTTCCGAAACCGTGCTTCGCAAAACGAAAAATTCGCAAGACGAAGAAACTCGCAAAACGAATTAATTTTGTCTTGCGAGGCACCACTGTACTACTTGCAGGAGACTGGGGAAAGAGAATTACCATCCTTGCCCTCCCTGATAGTCGCCTTTTGCTGCTGCCAGCCTCCTCTGGGAGTACTATATTTATTGATTGATTGGTTGAATTTATATACTGTCTTATACTCGGAGGCAGTGGAAGACAGGAGTGCCTGGCGCGCTCTGGTCCATGGAGCCACAAGAATCGGACACAACCAAACAACTAAACAACAACATACCCAGACGGTCTCAGGCGGTTCACAGAAAAGATCAACATAAAAACCACAACATATATAATTAAAATTAAAAAAAACAACCCAATGACACACCCCCTCCGTGGGAGCCAGCTGTATGCCGTCTACCACCCCTCCCCTCTTAACTATATTTAAGCCAGGAGCGGCTTGACAATTGCCAGAAACTGCATTGGTCCTTGAACTCTTGTTTTGCTATACATATTTAAGTACTTCAGCCTAGATTGTTTGTTTATATTCAGTGCATTTTTTCTAAAAAAAAATGTTTAGGGGGTACTCTCATTTTACTCAAGAAAATCACCATTTTATGGTTCGAATCGGGGAAAATAAATATAATAATTGTACAAAAGTACAAAGATTCACAAAATGTTAGGGGTAAAAAGAACACAGTTTATATTCATGCTGCGTTTGCAAAATCGTTAATTTTTGCCGGGTTGTGTGTTGTTGTTTTGGAACTTCATCTTCTGCATGTTGATATAATTTCCAACATATTCCAATGTTTTCGGGGCCGTAAGCCGCTTTGGCACAGCCGATCGCGGCGAAAGCGGCGGATACGTCAAGCGACCCATCGACAGAGAAGCCGGCCGATGGAATCCTAGAGGCGCCGCTGTAGCGGTTGATGCGGAACTCGCCCAGGGGGCCTCCTAGCGCCGCTCTACCCTTCCGGCGTGCTTTTTATGGTCGCGGCGGCTTCCGCTTCCGGCGTAAACACTTAAAGGCAGGCGGCTGAGGCGGCGGCGCTCTTAGGAACGGAGTCGGCTGCTGCTGCTGCGTCGTGGAGATGTCGGACTCCGACAGCGAGGAGGACGAGGGCGGCGAGAGCCGGGCGGCGCCCTTCTCCTTGGCCGGCTTCCTCTTCGGCAACATCAACGAGCAGGGCCAGCTCGAGGGCGAGGGGCTCCTCGACCAGGTGGGCGCTTCTCCGGGGTGGGGCTTACTGGTCCGGGGGGGCAGGGGCGAAGGGAGGGGGGGCTGGCTAGCTAGCCGTGTCAAGGTAAAGGGGGCGCGGGGCACAGTGGGAGGGGCCGAGTTGAAAGGGGGAGGGGGACACCTGTCAAGCTGGGTCGAATTGGAATGGGGGGCCCAGGGGAAAGGTAGGGGCGGGGACTGGCTAGTCGGGTCGAGCTGGACGGGGAGGGAGGACTGGGAACGGTGGGGGCTGGCCAGCCGGGGGAGGTGGGGGGTGCAGGACAGCACGCGGGAGGAGAGACGGAAGGGAGGGGAGCAGGGGGGGGCTGCCAAGCCATGGGGACGGGGGGGGGGGCCGAGGGCTGCCCAGACAGGGGGAGCAGGGGGCTGCCAAGCCATGGGGGGGGCTAGGCTTGTGCAGACGAGCGGCGGGGTTGCCCAGCCATGGGGACGGGGCCCGAGGGCTGCCCAGACGGTGGAGCAGGGGGCTGCCAAGCATGGGAGGGGGGGGGGAGGGCTGTACAGACGGGGTGTGAGGGGCTGCCCTGCCATGGGGGGGGCTAGGGCTGTGCAGGCAGGGGGGGGGCGGCGGTTGCCCAGCCGTGCTGAGGGGGGTGAGGGCTGTCCAGATGGGGAGTGAGGGGCTGCCCAGCCATGGGGAGGGGGCAAGGGCTGCCCAGACAGTATGGGGCTGCCCAGCCATGCGGACGGGGGGGGGGGGCAAGGGCTGCCCAGACGGGGGAGCACGGGGGCTGCCAAACATGGAGGAGGGCTAGGGCTGTGCAGCAGGGGTGTGTGGGGAGTTGCCGAGCCATGGGGAGGGGTGTGTGGGCTGTCCAGACGGGGAGCGAGGGGCTGCCCAGCCACCGGAGTTGGGGTGAGGGCTGCTCAGATGGGGTGGGGCGCCCAGCCCTGGGGATGGGGGGGGGCAGGGCTGCGCAGCTGTCAGGGCGGGGGGAGGGTTCTGGGTCAAGCTGGAGAGGGAAGAGGGGAGGGAGGAGGGAAGGGAGGCAGCAGGGAAGGGATGGGGGAGTCAGCACTCATGGGGAGGATGACCTTTAGATAAACTGGTCTCAAACTATTCAGGGCTTATACGCCAACAGAGTAACACTTTGAAGCGGTTGGGATCTTCCAAGGGGACGGGGCCAACTTGCAAGCCCCCAGCTGGCTCCAGCCCACCCGGCCAGTAGCCAGGTGATCTCCTGTCCTTGGCTCAGCATGAAACAGCGACCCCACAGCTTCAGAAGCCTTCAGAAGCTGGAGCACGCTCTAATCAGCAAGATCGTAACAGAACATAGCCTGGTAGCAAATGGGCAACTAGTGCATATCTCTGAGCAAGGCACGGCGTTTGAGGTTAGAGCATCTACTTTGTATGAGGAAGGTCACAGTATGGTCTTAAGGTTCTTTCCCTCGGCTTCCTGCCAAATCCTGTTTCTTTCTGTCCCCTCCCCAGGAGTCAAAAAACATTTGGCCGGACTTGGGCATTGGTCTGGGGACCTCATAACAGAAATCACAGCCAGCGAAGATGATGCTTCTGAGTCAGACGGAGCCCAGTTGGATGAGGAAGGTAGGAGAACATTTTGGTCTTAGGACTGGGACAGAATAGCTTTCTCCAGGCTGGTGCCTTTCATATGTTGTTGGGAGCCCCATCAGCTCCAGCTGATGGCCAGTGGTCAAGGATGATGGATACTTGTGGTCAAGCAAAATTAGTTTGGGAAAGGCTAGGATATAAGGCTTTGCTCTCTCCAGGGATCGAAGGCTGACTCCTGTTTGTGCATTTAAAAAGAGGTGCAGCTGGTTAATTCAGTGTTCTGGCCAGGTTGGCTTACTCAGGGTTTGCAAGTAATGGCTGAACTTAGTAGCAAAGCAGTAGCCTCTACAAGCCGCCTGTAAAGTCCCAGCACCACCATGATAGCCACAATATTTTATTTTAATTTGGATACCACTCTTCATCCATAGATCTCAGGGGTTTAAACATAAAAAATACAAAATAAAAACACAAAATACATAATAAAACAAGAACAAAAAACCACAAACCAATGAACCACCCTCACCCTCTCCCACAACCCTGTGTAAAAGTTGTATAAGATGTTAATCTGCCAAATAATAATAATAATAATAATAATTTATTATTTGGTATACCCCGCCCATCTGGCTGGGCTTCTCCAGCCACTCTGGGCGGCTTCCAAAAGAATATTAAAATACTATAATACATCAACATTAAAAGCTTCCCGAAACAGGCCTGGTTGAAGGCCTGGTTGAAAGAAGAACGCTTTCACGTGGTGCCTAAAGGTGTATAATGAAGGCACCAGGTAAGCCTCCCTGGGGAGAGCATTCTACAGGCAGAGAGACACTGCAGGAAAAAAGGGCTTGTTCTTGTGTTGCCACCCTCCTGACCTTGTGTGGAGGAGGCATACCTAGAAGGGCCTCCAACAGTTGTCTCAAGGTCTGGGTAGGTTCATATGGAGAGAGGTTATCCTTAACGTATTGTGGTCCTGAGCCATTTTTAAAAAAATATGATCTTTATTGGTTTTTATAATTACATACTATACATACAAGGGACGCGGGTGGCGCTGTGGGTTAAACCACAGAGCCTAGGACTTGCCGATCAGAAGGTCGGCGGTTCGAATCCCCGCAACGGGGTGAGCACCCGTTGTTCAGTCCCAGCTCCTGCCAACCTAGCAGTTCGAAAGCACACCAGTGCAAGTAGATAAATAGGTACTGCTCTGGAAGCTGTACGCCGGCTCCCTCGGCCAATAAAGCGAGATGAGCGCCGCAACCCCAGAGTCGGCCACAACTGGACCTAATGGTCAGGGGTCCCCTTTACCTTGCTATACATACACATATAATATTACATTTTAAAAGAAAGGAGGGAAGTCAGCTCTTGAGAGCAAGAATAAATTAAAATCTAAAAAGGTCCTGAGCCACTTAAGGCTTTATAGATCAAAACCAGCACTTTGAATTGGACCCGGAAACTAACTGGCATTCAGTGCAGTGGGGCCAGAATTGGCATTATATGCTGAAACCCGTATTGCCCTGGTGAGCAATATTATTCTTGAACGTGGGTGCGGAAACTGGGATAGAAAAATGGTGTGGCCTGTTGGGTCTGTAATTTTTCTGTGTTCTTCCCTGTTCCTCTCCCTGCCGCCAGGCTGGGTTAAGAGCACCGAGGATGCTGTCGATTATTCTGACATCACCGAAGTGGCCGAAGATGAGAGCCGCAGGTACCGGCAGGCAATGGGCAACCTTCAGCCATTTCAGAGGGCAGGTAGGTGGTGGCAACAGCTGCTTTCCTTTGTCACAACTGATCTTTCACCTCTTCAACTGGTCCTTGCTAACCTGACACTCGCCCTGGCTCCCCGTTGCTCTTCTTGTTTAGCATCCTGTGTATGGGGCGTTAGAGGAAGGGTAGTACCTATGGTAGATGGGCTAACAGGATGACCAGCCCCATCTGCTCTTCACCTCTCTACAGCATGTGCAGAAACTATTGGGCCCATATTGCTCTTGTCCTCTCAATCCGCCGGAGCCTCTTTTCGCATGCATGGGAAGTTCCTAACTAACCAGGGGTTTGAGACCTGTCAACTACCCTCGCCTGGTTTAGCTGGCCAGTTGAAGCCAATTCTGGGGTGTGGCTGCTGTCACGTGCTGTCACATTCCCTTTGTTTTTAAATTTACTGTACACCCATTTGGGCGTTTTATATTAAAAGAACATAGGAAGCCGCCTTATATTGATTCAGATCCTTGGTACATCTGGTTCAAATGGGACGCGGGTGGCACTGTGATCCAAACCACCAAACCTCTTGGGCTTGCTGATCTTAAGGTCAGCAGTTCGAATCCACATGTCGGGGTGAGCTCCTGTCACTTTGTCCCAGCTCCTGCCAACCTAGCAGTTTGAAAGCATACCAGTGCAAGTAGATAAATAGGTACCTGCTGCGGTGGGAAGGTAAACGGTGTTTCCATGCACTTGTCACGGTGTCCCGTTGCACCACAAGCGGTTTAGTCATGCTGGCCACATGATCCAGAAAAACTGTCTGCGGACAAATGCTGGCTCCCTCGGCTTGAAAGCAGAGATGAGTACTGCACCCCATAGTTGAATTTGACTGGACTTAACCATCCAGGGTAAACCTTTACCTTTTTTTACCATCTAGTTCAGATGGTGGGAATAGAATATCTGTTTTGGATGATGGAGGGTGCCTGGATTTTCTTGGAATGTTTAATCCTGGTGGTTTTTAACAGGGACGATAAACCGAAGTTGTGATGTGATGGAAGGGCTGCCCACCACTCCTTTCTTTTCTTCCTTTCCTTAGATGATGATGATGATGACGATTATGATGCTGACTCCGAAGATATTGACTCCAAGCTGATGCCTCCCCCGCCACCACCTCCAGGGCCAATGAGAAAAGAGGACGAAAAGGATGAAAGTGCTTCTGGTGAGTATGTACTCCTGGAAAGTGCCTGTGAGCCCTGCAGGGCCCAGGGGTGAGCAGTATCATAGGCTTGTAGAGTTGGAAGGGAACCCGAGGGTCATCTAGTCCAAACCCCTTCAATGCAGAAATCTTTGGCCCAACTCGGGCTCAAACCCACAACCCTGAGATTAAGAGTCTCATGCTCTACCCACTGAGCTATCCCAGGTCTGAAAGAAACACAGTGAAAAATAGTGGGTGGAATCCAGTGTAGCAGTACCTATTGTTCTGTTAGCATAAGAATTTTTGCTTCTGCCATGTAACTCCCCCCATGTGCACCCAAACACACCCAGTCTGTTCTGGAGGGGCTACATCGGCGGAGGAGAGGGGTAGGATGTTCCGTTGCAGAAGCAGAAATCCTTGCGCTGGCAGAACATTCACACAGCGCCACTTTGGATACAACCCTAATCTGGGATTTCCCTTTTGCGTTGCTGCCTCAGCTAAAATGTGGTTTTATTTTGATGTGCTTTTTTTCTGGCTTGCGGTTTTTCACTTTAAAGTGCTTTCAGCTTTGTGATAAGGCAGTATGCAAATGTGCTTCCTTTATTCAATAACAGTAGAATCTACCGGAAGCAGGAGAATTGGATCTGAGAATTTAAAACTCCCTGAGTGCGGAGTCCATGCAGTTTTTGATGTGTCAAGGAGGATTCTCTTCCCCTCCCACTCACTCGACCCTTTTTAAAATGCAAGTTGAAAATTTCAAGAAATACTGCACTTTTGTCTTTGATGCCTGGAATAAGGCATGTGACCCAGGGTTAGCTTTCTGTCATGTTGAGGTTAGGAAGTAGAGTCTTTCTTTCTTTCTTTCTTTCTTTCTTTCTTTCTTTCTTTCTTTCTTTCTTTCTTTCTGTCTTTCTTTCTGAGAGGTACTCTCTTCCAGGGTCTGAAGACAACGATGGTATCATCCTTCCATCCATCATTGCACCTTCATCCGCTGCCTTGGAGAAGAATGACTTCAGCAGCTCTTCGGATTCTGAATCGGAGTCGGGGTCCCAGGACTCACGGAAGGCAGAGTCCAGCGACAGCAGACTTACGCTGCCCCTTGCAGGGATAATGCAGCAGGATACCACCAAGCAGCTGCCAAGTGTCACGGATCTGTTCCCCGAGTTCAGACCAGGCAAGGTAGGGCAGTGTGAGCAAAGCAAATTCCACGCCAGGGGCAAATACCACAACAGGGATATTCAAACCTGACATGCAACTGCGCTTGGGATGCTGCGTACATTTCTGGATGCCTCAGCCTCCAAAAGGATATTCTAGAGCTAGGAGGTTCGGAAAAGGGCAACCAAAGTTATCAAAGGGCAACACCCCAACGAGGAAAGGTTACAACATTTGGAGGTTTTTAAAGTTGAGAATAAAGCGGGGCATTATAGAAATGTGTAAGACTATGCAGGGAAATTGACTCCCACAAGAAGTAACAATGCTTGGACTGTCGTACCTATGGGACCGCCTCTCCCGGTATGCCCCACGGAGGACCTTAAGGTCCATAAATAGCAACACCCTAGAGCAGTGTTTCCCAACCTTGGGCCTCCAGCTGTTTTTGAACTACAATTCCCATCATCCCTGACCACTGGTCTTGCTAGCTAGGGATGATGGGAGTTGTAGTCCAAAAACAGCTGGAGGCCCAAGGTTGGGAAACACTGCCCTAGAGGTCCCGGGCCCTAAGGAAGTTAGATTAGCCTCAACCAGAGCCAGGGCCTTTTCAACACTGGCTCCGGCCTGGTGGAACGCTCTGTCTCATGAGACCAGGGCCCTGCGGGATCTGATTTCTTTCTGCAGGGCCTGTAAGACAGAGTTGTTCCACCTGGCTTTTGGCTTGGAGTCAATTTGATTCCCTCCCCCTCTTTCTTTTTTCCCTTTCTCCTCCCATAATGAGGCTGCATTTTAATGTTTTAATGTTGTATTTTAATCTCATTTTTAAAGTTGTGCTTCAATCAACTTGCTTTTATTATTGGTTGTTAGCCGCCCTGAGCCCGGCCTTGGCTGGGGAGGGCGGGGTATAAATAAAATTTATTATTATTAAAGAGAGGAATAGACAAATTCATGACGATCATGTTCTGACTCCATTGTCAGCCGCAGAATGCCTCTGAACACCAGGTGCTGGGAGTTACTGAATGTTGCATTTAGGTTCTTTTTGTGAATTTCCCGCGGGCAACCAGTTGGCTATTGTGACGACAGGATACTGAAGTTGGCGGGCCTTTAGCCTGAACCAGCAGGACTCTTCTCTGCCCTTACGTTCTGCAACAAATTAACGTTTTCTTTGTTTTCAGATTAAAATGTCCCTATTGTCCCATGGAACAGAGTCCTGGAGATGCCAAACAGATATTCTTCTGAGGACACAATTCGCTATGTAGTTTTATCTGTGTGTTTTGGAAGACGGAAGCGGACAAAGGCTCCATTTTATGCTGTACAGGCCGAAAAGGAGGACTCCTGTGTTTTTGTATAAGCCTCATGCTCCAGAAATTTTTGCCACATTTAGTGCAGACATACAGATTGGGAAAAAATCTGCAGAAGTAATATCTGTTCTAGGGCTTCTACTCTTAACCTTGGTCTCCATATCCGATCAAGACACGACACCAGCAGTTGTCATTCAATGCAGGTTTTTGTACTTAATTGTATGGTGACTTCTCTTTTTAAAAGCAGACACCAACCACAAGCATCATATAGGCCTAATATTTGCCCTGCTTTTATCACCCTGTTAGATGAACGTCGCCATAAGGAATGTGTGGGGGAAAGTTTTTATTTCCTTAGCGTGTAAATAATTCAAAGAGAACTTTGGAAAAAGGTTTGATAAATTTAATAGTGGTTATAGACATACCTGTATTTCTGTTCTTACTGGTTTATCCCAACCCAAAGCTGTGATATTTTTTTTTGAGCGTTTTTTTTCCTTTCAGCTTTTAAACAGAACTCCAAATGAATGTGCTTATATATATATATAAACTACATGAATATATAACAGAGTTCAAAACCATTTCTGATTTAGAAATCACTTCTGATTTCCTGACTGAGAGCTCTTTGTGTAGCTGCGAGTATTCAATAAATGTAACTCTGGACTGGAAAGAAGCCTTTGTCAATGGATACTTGCTCTCCAGCTTTTTTTAGTCTTATAAACTAAGCTTTGTACTTAACGTCCGTGTCATGTTGCTGTACAGTTTACTAGACATGATAAGCTACATTATTTATAAAGTTATCAGAACCAAATAAACTGTTGACAATGTTCATAGTTGAGATGTGGGAAAGGACATCTTCCAGTAATCGTAAATAACTCTGTGGCCTGTTGATCACAGGATTGGGCCTCCATCCTGTTAGTAACTAATACAGTGGTGCCTCGCAAGACAAAATTAATCCGTTCCGCGAGTCTCTTCGTCTTGCGGTTTTTTCATCTTGCGAAGCACGGCTATTAGCGGCTTAGCGGCTATTAACGGCTTAGCGGCTTTAAGAAAAAGGAAACAAACTCGCAATAACTCGCAAGACGTTTCGTCTTGTGAAGCAAGCCCATAGGGAAATTCGTCTTGCGAAACGACTCAAAAAACGGAAAACTCTTTCGTCTAGCGAGTTTTTCGTCTTGCGAGGCATTCGTCTTGCGGGGCACCACTGTATGTCTTCTGCAGTAAAGAGCATTGTGCTTGTGACTATGGCCTGACAGCTAATATTACTTTTCTTCTTAAATTCGTTGCAACAAAGGGTAAATCTAGGCGAGACACTTGACTTAGTTTGACTTTCATCCCTAGAGAATCTTCAGAATTGTAGTCTGGGAGGGGAGGAATGTCTAATGTTTGGAGTATTGTTGTCGGCTTACATTGCTTTGCATTCTCCTGGGAAAGCTACACTAGATTAACCAATACACGTTTCTACAGATTATATCCGAAGTGAATATGCACTTCTAAGCTGGATGCACACTGTGACAAATTTCTCGTGTGCATTTGTTACATTGTCCTGCGATAGGACAAAGGAGCTACCTTACAATAGATGAAATAATAGATTTATTTGCTGTGTGGCTTAAAAGCAGGCCTGGCCCACCCGTTAGTCAAGGTGAGCCCTTTGCCTCGGGTCCTAGATGGGGAGAGGCAGTGGAACAGTGCTCTGCAGCCCATCCATCACTGCTTCCACCCACCTGCAGAGCTGTCTGGCAGGCTGACCACAGCTGCCACTACTACCATTGGCAAGCCAGCTGCCATCTCTGGCCTCGTGGCTGATGCCCAGGGCATCCAGGAGAGCCCTGCCACTTTGCCAATATTTAACAGTGGGGCTATTTGGGTCGCCTATGCTTTGATGCAAATAGGAGGAATTAAAGAACCTTTTAATGAGGGTGAAAGAGGAGAGCGCAAAATATGGTCTGAAGCTCAACATAAAAAAACTAAGATCATGGCCACTGGTCCCATCACCTCCTGGCAAATAGAAGGGGAAGAAATGGAGGCAGTGAGAGATTTTACTTTCTTGGGCTCCATGATCACTGCAGATGGTGACAGCAGCCACGAAATTAAAAGACGCCTGCTGCTTCTTGGGAGAAGGGCAATGACAGGCCTAGACAGCATCTTGAGAAGTAGAGACGTCACCTTGCCAACAAAGGTCCGTATAGTTAAAGCCATGGTTTTCCCAGTAGTGATGTACGGAAGTGAGAGCTGGACCATAAACAAGGCTGATCGCCGAAGAATTGATGCTTTTGAATTATGGTGCTGGAGAAGACTCTTGAGAGTCCCATGGACTGCAAGAAGATCAAACGCATCCATTCTTAAGGAAATCAGCCCTGAGTGCTCACTGGAAGGACAGATCGTGAAGCTGAGGCTCCAGTACTTTGGCCACCTCATGAGAAGAGAAGACTCCCTGGAGAAGACACTGATGCTGGGAAAGATGGAGGGCACAAGGAGAAGGGGGCGACAGAGGACAAGATGGTTGGATAGTGTTTTCGAGGTTACCAGCATGAGTTTGACCAAACTGCTGGAAGTAGTGGAGGACAGAGGTGCCTGGCGTGCTCTGGTCCATGGGGTCATGAAGAGTCGGACACGACTAAACGACTAAACAACAACAACAACAACATGCTTTGATGCGAGGAAGCGGGTCCTGAAAGCGAGTCCTTTGTGGGTGAGGTAACCCCAGAGAACACCTGCTTCAAGTGTCAGAATTATTACGGTAAAATTTCAGGCAGAATCGCTGCCGCAAAAGCAGTAGCGTTTACAGGTGATCTCCAGGGCTCACTCCAAGGAAGGGCCTTCTGTTCCTTGGAGGAAGGCAAGGCATGGGCAAGGTGACCCCAAAGGGAATTAGGAGTCCCCATATGAAATACTAAGCAGTAGGTGGAGGTAGAGGAGGCTGGTATATGAAGAGGTGGCGGTATTATCTGCTTTGCTTGGGCAGCACAATGCTTTGTGCTGGATCCGTTTCAAAGCACCAACGAAGCACCAAACTTTGGTTGGCTACTAAGATACAAGAAATGCACTAGCACAATGCACTACACAGAAGAATGTTGAAAAAGATTTTTCATGTGCTTTTGGCTTTGGGCCCTAGCAAAGGGTCGATACCATTGCAGATACATTAAGGCAAGCTGATTTTACTCGCGCAGAAAAACCAGAGGAAGGAAAAGACGCCACCGCGTTACCTTTTAATAAGCGGCTTCTATCCATATTGCACTCCTAAGGGAAACTGATGACAATAACGACAGCGGTAATATTTTCTGTGCAGGTTTATAGTATCAGTGAAATTGCTTTTAACATGGAAGGGAATTGCATATTTGTGAACCTCGGCGTACTAAATGCATATGTGTACTCAAAGTGATGTAAACTTTGAAAACGGCAGCGTACGGTCTATCCAAGTTGAATTGCGTAATGCGAGAATATCTGTGGACCTACACACATGTGTAGGGCCCATCAATTTCAGTGGGATTTGGGTGTACCTAAGTTGTTGTGCTTACAGCCAATGTCTGCTTCATCCTTCCCTCCCCAAAGCCCATGTTGGTTGCCTGCCATATACCTAAGACTATAACGACTGACGTCTTCATACCAAAATGTAATGACTGACATGATTTTAGTGGATCCCAGGTGAATGGTGAGGTTTGCTCTCCCTCAAATCAGCAAAGAGAATAGGTTGTGTGAGATGCTATTGATCTTTGTGATTGCAATAGCTTGTTGCCATTTCTCAAGGTGGTCCATCTTGCCCAGTATTGGGATCGACTGGAATAGGGAAAAAAATAGTTTTGGCAGAACGCTCATTTTTATGACTGAGATTCTTCCTGTAAAGGATAGTGTAAGTCTGGCCCAACTATCCAAATTTCTTTTCATCTCCTCCCAGGTTCTTACATAATTATCATGAAATAGGTTAATATTCTTTGAAGTTAGCCAGACGCCCAAGTATTTTGCTTTTGGGCAGATTTTCAAACCAAACATTTCCCCCCAGTTCTTCTTTTTCTTGGTTTGATATGTTCTTAACCAGTAGTCTTGTTTTTATTTTATTTAATTTGAATCCAGCTACTTCAATGTGATTGCTTCCATACGCTTCTAATAATTCATGGAAACTCATGAATGAGATGTTTTGGGTTTCCTGCATAGCGCACGCAAATAACCCCTCGTCTACTTGCTCTGTTGTATCCAGTGACGAGGAGGAGAGCCTTTTTCTTCTTTCAAGATTAGCACATGGCTTCACTTTCGGCGATTTTGAAAATGAGACTCTATAATAGCATCTTGTTAACTGTAGGAGAAGGGACGCGGGTGGTGCTGTGGGTTAAACCACAGAGCCTAGGACTTGCCAATCAGAAGGTCGGCGGTTCGAATCCCCGCGACGGGGTGAGCTCCCGTTGCTCGGTCCCTGCTCCTGCCAACCTAGCAGTTCGAAAGCATGTCAAAGTGCAAGTAGATAAATAGGTACCGCTCCGGCGGGAAGGTAAACGACGTTTCTGTGTGCTGCTCTGGTTCGCCAGAAGCGGCTTGGTCATGCTGGCCACATGAACTGGAAGCTGTACGCCGGCTCCCTTGACCAATAAAGCGAGATGAGCACCGCAACCCCAGAGTCGGCCACGACTGGACCTAATGGTCAGGGGTCCTTTAACTGTAGGAGAAGCAGAAGTGGCCACAACCACAACCCTGGCTGGTTTGTGAGAGCTGAATTTCAGGGCACCATAGTGTAGTTTCTACACCTTTAATTTTGTCAGCCCAGCCCAGCCCACCCCCCAAATATTCCCAAGAATAGTAGCCATTACACATAAAGGTTTTATTTTGCAAACATTTCCTCCTTACTCTGAGGGGGAGCAAAGCCTGAGGGCGTTCATTAGAACTGACAGCATAGAGAGCAACATGGAGCTGGTATGCTCAAGAATGCGATCGTGAAAATGATGCAAATGGACGTGTTAAATGCGTGCAACATGTTCCAGTGAATTGCTGCGTGCTTTTCTAGACACTGTATCACAGATAAAGTTCTTTTCTGTGTTCAGCATGGATAACTGAGACTCTATTACGGCAGCTCCCTGCTTATCGTGAGAAAGATGTAAAGCATACCCAAATGAACGCATGGGGGTGAGAAATGGGTAGAGCCTTTTAGGCTTAACTATATTTACAGATGATGTATATTGTTACACTGTTACTGGTAATGAGTAAAAAAAAAGTTTGCTAAATCGGGTTTGTTTGATTTCATTGCTTGCACCATATTTTGTATGAAACAAACGCCTTTCCAACCTTGCAGTGTATTTCCCCAACTGCTTTAAGGCCTTTTATGCGACCATGGTGGAGTCTACACACATATAAAAAATGTTATCAAAATGCTTTTTTAAAAAAAGAGTTCTTAAAAATACATTGAATTTTCCATAAGGCTCACCATCGCCATCTAGTGTCACATTGTATATTGCACTTAAAACACACTTAACACATTTTATTTGCAGCTGTATAGCTGAGTCTCCTGTGTGGTTGGGGGAATGGCCCCTAAAATCATGTCCCGTTGCCTAATTTATGTGTTAGGATTGCATGCCACATACAATCCTTGCATGCCATAACTAAGACACTGAGATCCAGCGTTGAGGGCCTTCTGGCAGTTCCCTCATTGCGAGAAGCGAGGTTACAGGGAACCAGGCAAAGGGCCTTCTCAGTAGTGGCCCCCGCCCTTTGGAACACCCTCCCATCAGAGGTCAAGGAAATAAGCAGCTATCCTGTTTTTAAAAGACATCTGAAGACAGCCCTGTTTAGGGAAGTTTTTAATATTTAATGCTGGATAGTTTTTAACACTCAATTGGGAGCTGCCCAGAGTGGCTGGGGAAACAGCCAGATGGGCAGGGTATAAATAAATTATTATTATGATTATGATTACCCGAAGATGAAACTAGCATTGCTGGTGGGGGAAGGAGGCGCAAAGGAAGGTTGAAGCAATCTGATTTTGATAAGGCCTGCTAAAATCCTGACACTTCCTGACTGGAAAGCTTAAAGCCTGCCGCTGCTACACGGGAGACGGATTAAAGAAAAGGAGTTGCTAGGAGCTAGGTGGAGTCCTAGATCTAAAAAAAAAAGTATAGACTTGCGCACACTGGCCAGCATCCGTTTTGACATGAAATATTCGTTTTCAGCTTTTCAGAAGTACCGTATTTTTTGCTCTATAGGACTCACTTTTTCCCTCCTAAAAAGTAAAGGGAAATGTGTATGCGTCTTATGGAGCGAATGCAGGCTGCACAGCTATCCCAGAAGCCAGAACAGCAAGAGGGGTTGCTGCTTTCGCTGCGTAGTGATCCCTCTTGCTGTTCTGGCTTCTGAGATTCAGAATATATTTTTTTCTTGTTTTCCTCCTCCAAAAACTAGATGCGTCTTATGGTCTGGTGCATCTTATAGAGCGAAAAATACGGTATGTAAAGGCAAGAAACGGGCAGGGGAGGGGGAGTGCTGGCCTGCAATGGTGCTCACCTGAGTTGCCAGAACTGCTCTCTGGCTGCGGAAAAAAACCCTCACTGGATAGACCTAAAGAGAGCCTGCAGTCTCAGACCTATGACCCACCTAGTCCAGCCCCCTGCTCCCACAGCGACCAACTCTATGTCCATGAGACGCCCACAAGCGGAATAAACACCACTTGTTCTTTCTTCCCTCTGCCCAGAGTTTTGCTCTTTAGTTCATGGTTGTGGTTCTGAAGCAGTTATATTAAGTAGAGGACACTTGATTTTATGACGAAAAGAAATTCTCAGGCTTTATTTTTAATGTTGTAGAACAAAGGGATGCGGGAAACGTCGCACACCTCAACCATAGCGATGCTCCCGCGGTTTGCTTGTGGATGGCAAAGCACAAAAGAGGAGGACAGGAAATGTCACGTGGTTTCGCTTGTACTGCATAGACTCCGGCTGTCCCTATTTGCCAGGTATAGTTCCTGTTTTCTGGTGCCCAGCGGCGCTAACACATGTAAATTTAATAGGCCATATAGTAACAAATGCTGGGATGCAGGTGGTGCTGCGGGTTAAACCACAGAGCCTAGGACTTGCTGATCAGGAGGTCGGCTGTTCGAATCCCCCCGATGGGGTGAGCTCCCGTTGCTCGGTCCCTGCTCCTGCCCACCTAGCAGTTCGAAAGCATGTCAAAGTGCAAGTAGATAAATAGGTACTGCTCCAGCGGGAAGGTAAACGGCGTTTCCGTGCGCTGCTCTGGTTCGCCAGAAGTGGCTTAGTCATGCTGGCCAATAAAGCGAGATGAGCGCCGCAACCCCAGAGTCGGCCACGACTGGACTTAATGGTCAGGGGTCCCTTTACCTTTATAGTAACAAACAGAAAGTTTTTTTACTGGAACTACTTCTCAAAAATTACATGCCACTTGAGAAGTATCTAATTTTGAGAAGTAGTTCTAGAAAATAACTTTGTGTTTGTTACTATGTGGCCTATTACGTTTACGTGTGTTTTCAATTGGATTTGCATAATATAGGCATTCTGGTGGTTTACAGCAGTGCTAACACACTGTCTGGACTCAGTATTTGGGAGAGATGTTTGGGGAGGGGGGGATTTCAACATTTTCCTAGTATGCACAGGCATGCGTCAGAGTTCTTTGGGTTTCAACCCTCCCTCCCACGTCGCTAGGCGTCAAAGATCTAAGGGGACAGCTGCAAAAAGTCTAGTATGAAAATGTATATAAATGCACCTGCACAGATCCTAAGCAGCAGTCCGTTGCTCCATTTTCCTTCCCTTAAACACTGCCTATTTGGCTGAACATCTTTGCAGCTTTTCTATAACGAGGGCAGCCAAAGTTTGTGAGATGAAAACCTGCTTAAGATCTCCACCTTAAACTGTTGCAGTTTCCTAGTGCAAGATAGGTCAAGGCAAAGTAAATTATCCCAACATACATACAGCAGGTCGATAAGATTTTCCTGCAAAGCCATTCCTCCTTGGGATGGGAGCACAGAGCCATTATGAGCATTCTAGAGTCTTTCTGGCAAGGCTGGAAGGTATGATGCAGTGAGAATGCAATGGGAAAAACTGGCTGAAATGTCCTATTTGATCAAGCGTGACGTAGCCACCGTCCCATTGGTTCCATTCAGAGGCCTAGAAAGAAGAGGGAGCAAAGGCTTCAGTAAGGCTATGACAAAGTCTTGACATGATTCAGCAAATGGGTTTGGTGAAAGCATTAGTTTCCATACTTTGGCCTAACAAGCCTCGTATTGTATCCGGGAGGCATGGTTCTTTATCTTGCCAGTGCCAAAAGTTAGCATCCAGTAACTGAAAATTTAGGAGCTGCAATTCCTGTCAAGGTATGCAATGATTTATTTACTTATTTGTAGTACAGTGGTACCTCAGGTTAAGTACTTAATTCGTTCCGGAAGTCCCTTCTTAACCTGAAACTGTACTTGACCTGAAGCACCACTTTAGCTAATGGGGCCTCCTGCTGCCACCGCGCCGCAGGAGCACAATTTCTGTTCTCATCCTGAAGCAAAGTTCTTAACCTGAAGCACTATTTCTGGGTTAGCAGAGTCTGTAACCTGAAGCGTATGTAACCTGAAGTGTATCTCACCCAAGGAACCACTGTATATGCAATTTTTGTGCACAATACTTAGCTGAAGAGCTGCATCGCAAAATTCAGGTAAGTGTGAATTTCAAAGCAGAGCGGTGCTTCACTTTGCACATCGCTTCGGAAAATGTGAATTTGGTAAGTTCCCCTTTAAGTGCGAAGTGAACCAAACTTCTCACCCATCCACCACAAGTGTGCTTAGGATTGCATTGTGGATTTAATGTGACAGGATGCCTGACTGGAGAGGACTCACCTTTTACATCTGCAATGCCGTCGCCTCCTCCTTGGGTCTGCTATTCATTTGGGAGGGGGAGAGAAACGTGCAAGTTATTTTATTAATATAACAACAACAACAACAACAACAACAACAACAACAACAACAACAACAACAATTTATTTATACCCTGCCCATCTGGCTGGGTTTCCCCAGCCACTCTGGGCGGCTTCCAATCGAATATTAAAAACAATACAGCATCAGACATTAAAAACTTCCCTATATAGGGACACCTTCAGTTGTCTTTTAATCTAGATGCATCAATAGGAGTATAGCATCTAGATCAAGGGAAGTAATAGTGCCACTGTATTCTGCTCTGGTCAGACCTCACCTGGAGTACTGTGTCCAGTTCTGGGCGCCACAGTTCAAGAAGGACACTGACAAACTGGAACGTGTCCAGAGGAGGGCAACCAAAATGGTCAAAGGCCTGGAAATGATGCCTTATGAGGAACGGCTAAGGGAGCTGGGCATGTTTAGCCTGGAGAAGAGGAGGTTAAGGGGTGATATGATAGCCATGTTCAAATATATAAAAGGATGTCACATAGAGGAGGGAGAAAGGCTGTTTTCTGCTGCTCCAGAGAAGCGGACACGGAGCAATGGATCCAAACTACAAGAAAGAAGATTCCACCTAAACATTAGGAAGAACTTCCTGACAGTAAGAGCTGTTCGACAGTGGAATTTGCTGCCAAGGAGTGTGGTGGAGTCTCCTTCTTTGGAGGTCTTTAAGCAGAGGCTTGACAACCATATGTCAGGAGTGCTCTGATGGTGTTTCCTGCTTGGCAGGGGGTTGGACTCGATGGCCCTTGTGGTCTCTTCCAACTCTATGATTCTATGATTCTAAAATAGTTGTTTATTGCCTTGACATCGGCTGGGAGGGCGTTCCACAGGGTGGGCGCCACTACCGAGAAGGCCCTCTGCCTGGTTCCCTGTAACCTCACTTCTTGCAGGGAGGGAACCACCAGAAGGCCCTTGGAGCTGGACCTCAGTGTCCAGGCAGAACGATGGAGGTGGAGATGGTCCTTCAGGTATACTGGGCCAAGGCCGTTTAGGACTTTAAAGGTCAGCACCAACACTTTGAATTGTGCCCAGAAATGTACTGGGAGCCAATGTAGGTCTTTCAGGACCAGTGTTATGTGGTCTCGGCGGCCACTCCCAGTCACCAGTCTAGCTGCCGCATTTTGGATTAATTGCACTTTCTGAGTCGCCTTCAAAGGTAGCCCCACGTACAGCGCATTGCAGTAGTCCATATTAGTATATTTAAAATGATGCAGTGCTTCGTGACCTCTTAATTTTGTATTTTTGAGCCATATGTACCATATTTTTTGCCCTATAGGGCGCACTGGCCCATAGGGCGCACCTCATTTTTTTGGGGGGGGAAATAAATAAATAAAAATTATTCCCCCCCCCCAGCTGTGGGGCTGGGGCGGGGGAAGTCCAAGCTTCCCCTGACCCCAGCCCCCAGAACAGGCTGCTATCCGCAAGCCTTGCGAGCCTGGCGGCAACTCCCGCCGGGCTCGCAAGGCTTCCGGACATCTGCACGAAGCATGGGGCGCCCTCCAGAGCGCGCCCCATCCTTCGGGCTACAGGCTGCTGCCCGCAAGCCTGGCGAGCCTGGCGGGCACTCCCGCCGGGCTCCCAAGGCTTGCGGATAGCTTCCTGAAGCCTGGAGAGCGAGAGGGGTCAGTGCGCACCGACGCCTCTCGCTCTCCAGGCTTCATCGAAAGCCTGCGTTTGCCCCATAGGCCGCACACACATTTCCCCTTCATTTTTGGAGGGGGAAAAGTGCGTCCTATGGGGCGATAAATACGGTATATATAAAATCACTTTTTTCAGCTGTGAATGGGGGAGGCAGAAGGAAGAGTGCTTTCTGCTGCTGAATTACCTCATGCAAGAGATTCTAGGTGCCTCAGCTCGTATCATTATGACAGGGATTTCTATCATTCTAAGGCAGTGGCTTTCAACCAGTGTGCCGTGGCACCCTGGGGTGCCTTGAATGATGGCCAGGGTGCTGCAGGCAACACTGGCCTCTGTCTTCCTTTCTCTCCCTCCCATCTCTGATGCCCTCTTGCATCTCTGCCTTCCAAAGGCTTGCACAGCTGTTTGTTGCAGCAGCCCTAGCTACAAGCTCCGCAGGCGAATGGTGCCTCTAGGGCTGGTCAGGGGGTGCTGGTTGCCAGGAGCTGAGGTGGCCTTAGAGTAAGCAAGCAAGCGGGCGGGCGAGGGAGCCCAGCCAGCTAGTCTGCCTTCCTTTGCTGTTGGGAATCGACAGACAAGTCCCAGGCCCCTGTGGGGCAGTGTGAGGAGGCACCTCTCTTTGGGGTGGGGTGGGACAGCTCAGAGACTAGGGGCGGCAGAAGCAGGTGCCCAGAGGACTCCCAAGGAGAGGGGAGAGGAGAGAAGAAGGAGGAGGAGGAGGAGTTTGGATTTGATATCCTGCTTTATCACTACCCGAAGGAGTCTCAAAGCGGCTAACATTCTCCGTTCCCTTCCTCCCCCACAACAAACACTCTGTGAGGTGAGTGGGGCTGAGAGACTTCAAAGAAGTGTGACTAACCCAAGGTCACCCAGCAGCTGCAAGTGGAGGAGCGGGGATGTGAACCCGGTTCATCAGATTACGAGTCCACCGCTCTTAACCACTACATCACACTGTGGAGGCTGAGGAAACACTCCACAGGATGTTTGAAAAAGGGTGAGAGGTTGCGAGCTCTGCAGGCAAGGGGTGACATAACTGGGCTCCCAAGCCCCACAGGGGTGCTGCAGAGAGAATGTAGTTGGTCAAGGGAGCCGTGGACTCAAAAAAGTTGGAAACCTCTGGTCTAAGAGATTCACTGAAGGCTTGAAAACTTTGCCCGGCTTTGTCCACTTTATATATGTAGTTAGTTAGTAGATGATAGCTAGCTAGCTAGCTAGCTAGCTAGCTAGATAGATAGATAGATAGATAGATGATAGATAGATGATAGATAGATAGATAGATAGATAGATAGATAGATAGATAGATAGATAGATGATAGATAGATAGATAGATGATAGATAGAGATAGATAGATAGATAGATAGATAGACAGAAAGACAGATATATGGTGTCCACTTCATGTGTTCCATCCAGCCTTTTTAAAGGCAAATTTTGGTGTTGTGAAAAACTGTAGGTTTTTGTATCAATGCATCACAAAATTTGTTCTATTTCTGCTGCTGCTTGACTCCTTTACCCAACTCTCGACCAGCGTTTTAAAAATGCTTATAATTAGTCTGTAACCCATTTGTGGACACGTCTGCTAATTCACCAGAATTCTGAAAAAGGTTTGTGTGTGGAGAAATGGAGAGAGATTTGTTTTCTAGGCTGCCTCCCTTTGCAGAGCCCTACAAATCCAGCAATGCATGAGAGAGCTATACTTATTAAGAGAGAAAGCAGGCATGTTCTGTAAAAAAAAAAAAGGTACTCTGGTTATTATGAAACAAAATGCCTAGGAGATTATAAAGGGCTGCTATGGTAAACAAGGTCTTTGAATTAGTTAGTTCCCAGCTAGTTTTAAGTGAACCTACTACCCCAGTACTGCCATCCAACAGAGTTTAAAGGAAATTATCTTACCACAGCACACTGACAGGGTGATCACCAACAATACCAGCAGAAGAAAGCAACCACCTGCTAAGGGGGCCCAAATGTACAGTTCGCAGGGGAACATCACATCATCATCTGGATCTGCAGAAACAAGAGCACACCAGAAATGAATCCTAAATCAACAGCTAGTAACAAACCTCTGATTTACAGCTGTCCAGTTTTTGACTGGGGCCTCTCACTCCCTGGTGCTATTCTGTGATCCATTTGCCACAGTAAGGGACATTCTAGCACTCCAGCTTTAAGTATATTTTTACATCTGCAGGTATAAAAAGGGTAAAGGGACCCCGGTCCAGTTGTGACCGACTCTGGTGTTGCGTTGCTCATCTCGCTTTATTGGCCAAGGGAGCCGGCATACAGCTTCCGGGTCATGAGGCCAGCATGACTAAGCTGCTTCTGGCGAACCAGAGCAGCGCACAGAAACGCCGTTTACCTTCCCGCCGGAGCGGTACCTATTTATCTACTTGACTTTGACGTGCTTTCGAACTGCTAGGTTGGCAGGAGCAGGGACCGAGCAACGGGAGCTCACCCCGTCATGGGGATTCGAACCGCCGACCTTCTGATTGGCAAGTCCTTCTGCAATGGAGGAGGACCACTGTCCTTCTTGAATGCCACAGTAAGGGACATTCTAGCACTCCAGCTTTAAGTACATTTTTACATCTGCAGGTATACTTCCATCAATCTCCAGCTCCTTGAAAGATTCCATCAACACTGTCTCCAAAAATTATCACTTGGGAAGACAGGTGGACTAATGCCAGTGTACTGGAAGAAGCAAAGATCACCAGTGTCGAAGCAGTGATTCTTCAACTTCGTTGGACTAGTCATGTTGTTCGGATGCCTGATTATCGTCTTCCAAGGCAACTACTTTATTCCGAACTTAAAAATGGAAAGCGTAATGCTGGTGGTCAACAAAAGAGGTTTAAAGACTCTCTCATGGCAAATTTAAAAAAAATGTAGCCTAAACACCGACAACTGGGAAACACTGGCCTGTGAGCGCTCCAATTGGAGAACAGTCTTTGCCAAAGGTGTCATGGGTTTTGAAGACGCTCGAACTCAGGGCGAAAGGGAGAAAGGTGCTAAGAGGGTTTGGCAAACCCTCACCATGGAGGCAGTGAGAGATTTTACTTTCTTGGGCTCCATGATCACTGCAGATGGTGACAGCAGTCATGAAATTACAGTAAAAGATGCCTGCTTCTTGGGAGAAAGGCGATGGCAAACCTAGACAGCATCTTAAAAAGCAGAGACATCACCTTGCCAACAAAGGTCCATATAGTTAAAGCCATGGTTTTCCCAGTAGTGATGTATGGAAGTGAGAGCTGTACCATAAAGAAAGCCGAAGAATTGATGCTTTTGAATTATGGTGCTGGAGGAGACTCTTGAGAGTCCCATGGACTGCAAGAAGATCAAACCTATCCATTCTGAAGGAAATCAGCCCTGAGTGCTCACTGGAAGGACAGATCGTGAAGCTGAGGCTCCAATACTTTGGCCACCTCAAGAGAAGAGAAGACTCCCTGGAAAAGACCCTGATGTTGGGAAAGATGGAGGGCACAAGGAGAAGGGGACGACAGAGGACGAGATGGTTGGATAGTGTTCTTGAAGCGACAAACATGAGTCTGACCAAACTGCGGGAGGCAGTGGAAGGCAGGAGTGCCTGGCGTGCTCTGGCCCATGGGGTCACGAAGAGTCGGACACGACTAAACGACTAAACAACAACAACAACACCATGATCAACACCTGCCCGGAAATCTATGCCCTCACTGTGGAAGGATGTGTGGATCCAGAATTGGCCTCCACAGTCACTTACGGACTCACGGTTAAGACCATGTTTATGGAAGACAATCTTACTTGGCTACGAGTGATCGCCAAAGAAGATACTTCTAATCAATATTTGCAATTGAGTTCACAAGAAAGCGAGCATTTAAGCGGCTATTCTTGCCGGACTTGGATGTGTGTAGACATGGAAAGATATAAGGACCTGAGTTTGGCCCACATGACTGTTTATCAATGCTGTGCACACTTTTTCCTACAAAGAAATTATACCCGCATGAGAAAATCACTGCAATAAGATGCCTTGCTGGATCAAGCAAAGGTCCATCAACTCTCCCATTTCCAACCACTAAGTGGCTAACCTCAAGTCTCTGATAGTGGCCAGTCTCATGCCTCATGCTCACTCACTTGGACACCTGAAAGCAGTAGCAGTGATGAGCAGAGCAGCAGGGTTGAAATAATTGGCCATCATCCAGCCAGCCGGCCATGATTTATTTACATGCTCTTTTCTACCAAATCGTGCTCAAAGCAGTGTGCAACGAAGAAAACAGGGAGGCATCTCAAAATCCAACAGTGCAAATGCAATTTCATAACAACGTAATACAACAACATGGCAGAAAATAAAGTAACGTACCAAAGCAAAAAACAAAAACCCAACCCACGGCTAAGCTGTGAGCCTTGAAGGCTGTGCCCATTGAGTTGACCCCCTCATGATGGTCCTTTAAAAATAGCTTTTGTGTTGCCAATTAGAGGCATCAATGTGCTGAGATCATTTCTAGCAGAAAACAGCGTTTCGTTTTTCTTTCCATTCACTTCATTGGCGGGATTGACTTGCCCCAATGCTTTTACTGAAATTCTCACATTAAAAGCAGCGAGAGAGAAGATTCAAAGCACTGCAGAACAATTTGTGTGTTTATTGCAGAGGCTGGCTATTTACTTTAGGTTGGATTCGGACTAAATTAGGTCCCACTGAAATATATGAAACCTGAGTTGTTTTTTTGTTGGGGATTGCTGTAAAACTAGGTCATTTGTTCTCAGAAAACGGTTATCTATCTTAATTATCTACATGAGGTGAGTTCTTGGAAGTTGCCTGCCACCTGCAAGGTCAAAGAAATGATGTCATTTGACCTACACAGTTTATACCGAAATGGCTAAAATGACTGGAAGAATCAGAAATCAGGAAGACCAACATTTTAATAAGGAATGGGGAAAATCTTAAAAACCATTGTAAACAGTTAAAATCGTTAGGAGAATTGGAATATCACTTGTAGCTTAAGGGTGAATTTTGGACACAATGGAAATGTGAAAGATTTAGATTATCATAGTAGATGGCGGGAGGAAATGATTAACAATAGGACCCACAAAGGGGAGGAGGGAAGTTCAGGAGGTTCCTTGGGATCTTGTTTTTATGTTGTATGTTCTATATGTGACTGTAAAAATGTAATCTGAAAAACCAAATAAATAAATTTATGTAGTTCCCACTGAAATATATGAAACCTGAGTTGTTGTTTTGTTGGGGATTGCTGTAAAACTAGGTCATTTGTTCTCAGAAAACGGTTATCTATCTTAATTATCTACATGAGGCGAGTTCTTGGGAGTTGCCGGCCACCTGCAAGGTCAAAGAAATGATTTCATTTGACCTACACAGTTTCCATGGGAAACGGGAAAAAGTGAAACTGAATTTAAGAGGAGAGTCTGTGGACTGTGACTCTTATCACTCCCTCAGTCACACTTTCCATCTGGACTAATCTGAAAAACCAAATAAATAAATTTATGTATATTAAAAAAGGAGAGTGAAAGATTCACTCCAAGGTTTGCCTTCACCAGGGCTCTGGTGGACGTTTATGGACTCATTTGCAACAATTAAGCTTCAATATGCCAGTGGTAAACCATTCTACTTGACGTCTGGAATGCTGTGTGGATTTATTGCTCTTCTTTGTGCTTTGGTTTCCTACACGCTGAAAGCTGCGCTGTGCGTGTTGACTCTGCTGAGAGGCCAGTTTGGAGAAAGAATACTGGGCCTAAGCTGTCAATGAATTATGAGCAAAATACCATAATTCATCACAATTTTATCAGTACCTAAGATCTATTAAAGGACACAGGTGGCGCTGTGGGTTAAACTACAGAGCCTGGGGCTTGCTGATCGGAAGGTTGGCGGTTCGAATCCCTGCGACGGGGTGAGCTCCCGTTGCTCAGTCCCTGCTCCTGCCAACCTAGCAGTTCGAAAGCACGAAGTACAAGTAGATAAATAGGTACTGCTCTGGCGGGAAGGTAAACGGTGTTTCCGTGCGCTGCTCTGCTTGGCCAGAAGTGGCTTAGTCATGCCGGCCACATGACCCGGAAGCTGTATGCCGGCTCCCTCGGCCAGTAAAGCGAGATGAGCGCCGCAACCCCAGAGTCGGCCACGACTGGAGCTAATGGTCAGGGGTCCCTTTACCTTTACCTTTAAGATCTATTAACGTGGTCTGGATCCAAGCCTACATTTGCATACCACCCACCTTTCTTCCTTTTTAAAAACAAAACTATTTAGTTTTTCAGATTAAAGTTTTACAGTCAATTATCCAACAAACAACATAAAAACAATATTCCAAAGCACCTCCTGAACTTCCCTCCTCCCCTATGTGGGTCCATTTTCTCCCGCATCTTTTATAATAATCCAAATCTTTTACATCTCCATTATATTCAAAATCCAACATTAAACTACTAGTGTCATTCCAATCCTACTAATGATTTTAGCTGTTTACAATTCCCCCCCCCAAAAAATATTATAAATTCCCCCCATTCCTTATTAAAATTTTTGGTCTTTCTGGTTTCCGATTTTTCCGGTCATTTTTGCCATTTCGGCATAATCCATCAACTTAATCTGCCATGCTTCTCTGGTAGGGATTTTGTCTTCTTTCTCTGGGCCATTAACATCCAAGCAGCTGTGGTCGCATACATAAATGTTCTTTTCTGATCCGTTGGAATTTTCGGCATCTCCACCCAACTTTCTCCCACAGGGGACCTCAAGGATCACTAGATGGTTGCTCGCATCCGGGGAATCTAACTGTTATGTAGTGTAGTTTCACCCTGGGCCAACAGGGGGATACTGTATATAGTTTTCACTCAGGTCTGTAGATAGTTTTCACTCAGGTCCGCGGCAGTTATTTTAGGCGGGAACTCTGGGCTGTTGTGGTTACAATGTTGACAGCCGGCTGCCTATAAATACAGGCCGGCTGAGCTGTTCGCAGTCAGTTGTATTCCAGCTTACCATAATAAAGAGCTACTTGAAGAAATCGCTGTGCCGGCTGCTATGTCAACCCACGACTTAACACTGG